TTTAAAACCTAAGACGTTCTGTGCCTCTTCAGCCACCTTGTACCCATAATCGAGAGCTCCAGCTTTCCAAAAAGGCAGTCAGAGATGCTAGGGACTGGAATGACAGCATACATCCCTGCTGTGCACAGCTTCATACTCTGACACTAGTAATTGAAGCAGTATTGAAATGCCCTGATGGATGATCAAACCCCCAGCCTAGTTAATTGAGACCACACCACCTGGCAATAGAAACAATGGAAACTAGTTAAACTCTTTCCTGTATTTCAAGAAGTGATGTCATCGCCATTGTGGATGTCCACAGGCTCAGAACACATTAACAGCACAATTCCTGGGTGGCTTTCATTCTGAACAGCAAAGACTTTCAGAAATGTCTTCTGTGTGGTGTAGCCTCCACGCCACAAAACGATTCAACGAAATTTAATGTCACCAAAAGGCTCAGCTTCCACAAAGTGCTTAGAAATGGATCTTGGATCATATTACACTTAGATATACAGTCAGTTTTGGTAACAGTCAAATCAATGAATCAAGTCAGTTTTGTGAAGGACTTCCTAGTGAATAAAGAAAACTGATGACCAGGACAGGATCTGGTGTAACAGGAATGTAACACATGACAGTGTCTGCTGGTGGTTTACGGAATGACGGAGAACCTCCCAACAGCGGAACATTAAACATTAAACGTATTGTTTCTCAGTGATTCTGATGGATTCAAACAGATTACACATTTCAATTTGCTGATACATATGCATTATTTACTGTAATATTTTTAATTTTGCAATGTCTGTTATTACAGAACATATGTCTTTTCATTGGCAACATAATGACTGTTAAAAGGAAAGAGTAATAATTAGTTAGTGCTCTGTTGACATTGATTCTGGTTTAAAAATCCATTGTTTATGCTTTAGGTTTTGAGTTTACAGCCCCAGCTACATACATACATATACATTAGGGATGCTCATTTCGATTAATTTTCCCAACCGACAACCGCCGTTCGTTAACCGAACATTAACCGTTAACTGATTAGATTAGAATATTAAATTCCTCTGGGGTCGGCGGTCCCGCCGGCGGGATCTGACAGAAATTTCGCCAAACCATTTAAATAACTCTGCGAGGTTTTATCATATACACATTTAAAAAACACCCTCAGAAACCTTGGACGGTCTACTTTTCAAATATATATATAGGTAGAAACTAAATATATTTTTATAGCTTCGTGATACGAATAGAAAGAACAAGAGTGACTGACTTAAGCGTCTGCGTCTCGAAGCAGCTCTGATCGCCTTCCCACTTGCAAATTGCGCTATTCGCATGATAACAACATGATAATCCGACAGTTAGTATTGGATAAAGAAATATGTGAATACGCCCATTGTAACCGAAATAAAACAAGAGCACATGTCTGGGTAGTGTTTACACCGATCGGCTACAATATAGCACACGGATACGTCTCTGCCGCTGAAGCTTTGCGCCAATGTTTCCATTTTCAGCAGCAAAGCTCGTACCTGTGTTCATGGCTCAGTGGGCTAAGCCTGTGTGCCTGTAATCACAGTCGCCGATTCAAACCCAGTGTATTTAGAACGTGAAAAGCGATCTTCAGCTGAGATGCCACAAAACTTCATACTACTACTAATAATTAAAATATATATAAAAACATTTTAAACCGTTTAACTGATAGTAATATTCGGTCAAAATTAATTATTTCGGTTAACGGTTAAACGGTCAAAAGGAGCATCCCTAATATACATACATACACACAGGTTTGTACCTTGTATCTTCTACTGGGAAAACTAATACCAACATGACGACCTTCCCAGCTAATAAAATGACGTCCTTTCAACGTCATCTGAACGTCGACAAATGTCATCAAAACATTTATAATTGATGTCATTTGGACGTTATTTTGTAGGGTCCTCGGTACAGGATAGACAACGTCATTTCCGACATCCTTACCACGTCTTCATGACGTCCTCTGAACGTTGACAAACGTTGTGAAAACGTTTTTTATTGACGTCATGTGGACGTTATTTTGTAGGGTCCTCGGTACAGGACAGACGACGTCATTTCTGATGTCCTCACCACGTCTTCACAACGTTACCATGCTATTTCAGAAACAGCTATACAACGTTGTTTTTTGTCTTTTGTAGGACATTTCCAAATGATATATTAATTTATTTATGTAAAGATTATACATAAATTCGTAAGCTAGAAAGACTAATTTAAAACATCTTATTAATCAAATAAAACACTTCATAAAAAAAAAAATACATATATATATAAAACAGCATTTTTTAACCATGGTAGAAATGTCTAAACAATTTAAGCAGTTTAACATAAACATACAATTAACCATATAAATAAACAAACCTATATAAAAAAAAATTATATATACAGTGGTACTTCAGTTCTTGAACTCATTAGAACTCGAATTTCTTAAAAGTCGAATCAACCAGGTCGAAAAAAAATTACCTAGAGCTCGATCTGAATCTCAGAAGTCAAACCTTGAACGCCGACCTAAGATAACTTGTACGCGCGGGGAAATGAGTCACGCGGCACGTCTCTCAGCGGAAACAAAGGGTAAAGCTTCAGTCTCAGCCTTGCTTTCACTGTGATAGCATTGTGCATGTTTACACTAGCTGAATACATATATTTAGACAGTAAAAATACATTTAGACAATGACAAACAGTAACAGTAATTATTATTATTATATAATAAAATACATTTTAAAATAAAGATTTCTTATTAATTATTTTAATAATAATAATAATAATAATAATAATAAACCATTAATACATTTAATTATAATAATATTGTCGTGCCGAGCGGGGACGGAATGGAGACAAAGGCGCAGACGTCAGGGTATCGGGGAATACGGGGTTTAATTACAGGCAAGGCAGGCAAAACGCAATACAATGACCGGACTGGGGATACAAACTGAAACGCTAACGAAATACAAAGGGCTAATGAAAACAACCAGAAACAGCTGATCATATGGGGATTCCAAACGGGGTTAACGAGGGGGCGTGGCACGCGGAAGGAGCGGAGGATCGGGGCAGGAAACATTATTTGAATACATTTATTTTTTACTTTACAAATTACTGTTTTGATAAATGTGCTTAGATGTGTTTATTACAGTATATGCTCTTCTTGTTTTATCCGGTTCATTATCCGTTTAAATGCTAAAAAAAACATATTTAGGTGTAATTTTTTGGAGCCGGGAACCAATTAATTGGTTTTCCATTATTTTTTATGGAGAAAATTCGATCAGAACTCGAACGTTTTAGGATTGGATCCGGAGTTCTGAACGGATTAAATTCGAGTTCTGAGGTACCACTGTGTGTGTATACAGCCAGATTTGAACCAAAAAACACTTGGGCTAAATCAGAGTATCCTACCACTAGAACGCCGTTCTGTGATGAAGGTGGTATTTTCCAATCATTACACCTTCTCTATTTGGCTAATAATAGTTGATTACGTCAAATAGTCATCCTAACCCTACTGGGAACCAATACAGTAAGATGAAAGGGGGAGTGACATGTGAACATCTCGATTGATTGACTGCATTTTGAAGTATCTACAGTGGCTTGGAAGTGTAGATAACTTATGTAGAGAACTTTACAGTCTAACATAAAAGAGACAAAATAAATACATAAAAATGCCCCCACATTGCAATATCCTTAAACAAGAGGTTATCTACAGTATATTGCAGTTCTATTGAAGCACTTCCAGCATGCCTAGTATACATTTACATGAGATGGGTCAGATTTGGTGAAGCATGCAACAAATCAAACTCAATTTGTGCCCTTTGTTTATACATACATACATATAAACTAGAGATGCATTTCTGCAAGAAAATGCTGTCATTCCTCAAGTGTTGTAGTGAAAACTGGCCTAATAGAAAGTCATATTAAAATGTATTGACGTGAATGGAGAATAAACGAGGGGTGATAAAAGCAAGAAAAAGAGTGCGGGTCAAAAGAGACAGATGTGTGTTCAGGAGGTGGCCTCTAAATGGGGGAAATGAATAGGCTCCTATGGAGAAAATAAGCCACAGAGAAAGAGTGGATGAAAAGACGAATGCCGGTCATGGCGGTTACAGATATGCGCCCTCGAATCAGGTCAAATTTGATGGCTTTATGAAGTCAGGCCTGCCCATGTTAGTCTATGGGGAAACGGACGAAAGAAATGGACAGAACTTGCGAACGAGTGCAAGAACGTGTTTACACGCACCCCACAGTATGGGTCTCACATTTCTGTGACTTATGTTAACAATGTTAGTGCCATTTTGTAATTGTTTAATTAATTTTGTTTCTCACGTTCTGTTGGTTTACTGACATTTTGCGCCAGAGCCCCTCCAACAGCAGTGGTCACTCACTCTCTCTCTCTCACACACGATATATGAGCGTTTGTAGCGGATATGTTAATTAATGCCGCGTCGACAGATATGGCCTCGATCGTATTTAAGAGAGAGAGAGTGACCACTGTTTAAGGGGCTCATTTGTGGCCAAATATCTTTTTTTGCATTGAAATGTATATATGTATACATTTTAGTAAAACTATACATTTGATTTGATAGAATCTGTCCGATTTTGGTCTGCAAGTAACGTAGGCTACGTTTCATTCGGCGGGCGTCCGATTTTGGTCCGCCAGGTAACGTTTTATTCACAATGTTGAATGTATGGCGGGCGTTCGATTTTCCTCCGCCACATAACGTTTCATGCAGAACACAGTCAGAGGCTTTGGGGATGTTGTGAATGTTACAGACAGGTCAAATTTTACAAATACATTCTTCAGGCGTCTAATTTTGATCCTATCGCATAATTATACTGCTTAAACGCCTTCAACGTATTTATTTTAAAGAGGTTTTGAGTGACGATACATGCATGGGAACAAGCATTTAAATAATTTCGCACACCACACCCGACAGAGATAGCGGCTTGCATTTAAGCATTTTTGCTCATAATGAAATGTAGGCCTAACCAAATGAAAAATTTATAACAAAACGATTACCTGGTGCGTGTCCTTCTACAGCTTGTCTGCAAACTATGGACGCATTCAGAGCGTATAAGAATTGCGCGTGCTTACAACTGAAAATAATTATCATACTTAACCTGGCAACACTATTTTCTGATTAGCTGATAGGTTAAACGTTACCTGGCGGACTAAAATCGGACGTCCGCCTAACGTTGTGAATGAAACGTTCCTGGGCGGACCAAAATCGGACGTCCGCCTAACGTTGTTAATGAAACGTTCCTGGGCGGACCAAAATCGGACGTCCACCTAACGTTGTGACTAAAACGTTACCTGGCGGACTAAAATCGGACGTCCCAAAACGTCACGGTGACGTCGCTTGTTAGCTTGGTTAACCCCTACCCAGCCCGAACTTTAACCATAAGTAACCAAACTAAATACTAGACTTTTTAAATTTTTTGATTTCATCCTGATTTTTGTGGGGTCCCCACGACGTTAAAATAATAGGTTTTTATTACATTGTGAGGGCCATTTGGTCCCCACAATGTAATATAAACATAATCCACACAAACACACGCGCGCGCCTGAGCGCTCTGGACACAGGAATAATTTACCCATATAGCACATACCACCAATTTGCGGATTAAATTTCCCGTATCGTGCATGGCAACTACGCAAACATACAAACATATACGCAATACACGTGATTCAGTGCATAAAATACTAAAACACCAAAAAGACAAACATGCAATGCACATATTTAAAAAAAAATACTTTTATAATTGTGTTTCCTGTGCACACCTTGAATTTGTCGTCATATTTTCCTCATCTGGATTTTTGTTTCGTTCTGACTTCTCAAATGGGCTGTTGAAAGGGGGAAAAAATCACAATAATAAACGTCCTTAAGATTTAATGCGTTGTCATTCTTTTTTCAATACAACAAGGACACCGTGTGGGTCCCTCGTTCACAAACGCCTCTAAATGTTGTCCGCACTCCTTCTGCTCATTAAAAGCCGTGCGTACAGCGTCAGAAAGCAGCAAAATACCATGGACTTTAATTCGACGGGGGCAGGGGAAGCACTGAAGTATACTAACGGGATCATTTAATGCTCTGATTGCGCCTGGTTCCGGACGCGCCCCAGCGGAGTCCGGTCCGGTCTTTGCTCTGGGTTCTGTATGTCCTCCTGTCGGAGGATCTACGCTTCTGAAAGTACCAGATGCACTGACATCCAGTGCCTGTCATTTAACCCCTCGAACCGCAGCAATTCGGTAGGTTTACTGGAAATATTTTGAAACCCATTTTCTGTACGTTCGTTTGCATTGTCACGTCACTTTAATAGATATTCTATAAAGCAGGTAATACAGTGGTCTTCATAAATTTAAGCCGTTTTTCTTCTTGGGTATGGATCTGAATGGAAAATGTTGTTTTATTAGTTTTAGAAATGCACAAGGTAATGTAGGACGGGTTTTTAAGTGCAGATAGCAAAGTCTTCGTTGCGTAATTAAACTGTGTGACAGTTGCCTTTCTATGCTGTTCTTTATACTTTTTTCGGAGTTCTTCTCTATTTAGCAAAATATCAAAGCGATAATAAGATGTACCATCACCGCTTTTGATATCTGCTTCAGTTTTTCCGACATTGATGGTTTCTATAAAGTGTACTTGTGCCAGGCATCTAGTTGTTGCGCCTAGAAACTACTGCTATCGGAGCACCTCACCCATGAATATTGAAAAGTTGTCTTTGTTGATGATTATTGCACCTTTATTGTCATGTTATATTAACAAGCTCACATGAAATACCAGCCTTCAGGATGTTAGGGTAATTGGTAATGGACTGGCATTCTGTCCAGCGTGCACCCCTGTCTTGTGCTCTGTGGCTCCTGTGATAGCTTCCAGATCCCTCTGTGACCCTGTCCAGGACAAATGGTTAGAAGATGGATATATCAAAAAAGTATTTACAAGTATATATTTTAATTTTTCAGGCATACTATCACTTAGCACTTAGCATTAGTGTTTCCATTTCTACCTCTTTATAGGTACAGATGAAGAATGAGTTCAGGTGAAGGTCACACATCTCCCAGTGCTGTTCACCGTGCAGAGTCTGAACTCACACAATGAGCCCTTTTCCTGGCACCTTCACATTTAAATTACTAAGGATGGATGTGCTGTTACTTCAAGTACTAATGCAGCCCTTTCCACCATTTACAGAAGTATTGCTCTGATGGGGTTTGATGAAAGGAATGTCTGAAATGAAGGTTTGTCTGTTGGCCAAGATGGCTGAAATGGTCCTCGTTTGCTCTGCCAAGAAGTTTAATGGCATTATATATCCAAAAAAGCACACCCATCTCACAGTTAGGTACCCTGTCCCTTCATGCTGTTGTGTTTTTAGAGGGGTATAGGTTTTGTTAAAGGTACAACAGAAGAGTCTTCCTGGGGCATCAAGTGACCTTTGAGCCACAAGCCCTGGTATGTGTGGATATTATGGTTCCTAATAGCCTCTTTTCTGTGTACTGGACTAATACCATCACTGGAACAGTGTGGATGTGTGAGTTTGGTTTAGAGGGGTGTGTCCTGAATTGCTGGGGGCCACTGGACACTGGAAGTAATGGCACAGCTAAGATACACTAAGGCACTGTATGGAAGCACTGGGACATGAGTGATGCACGGACACCTTAGGCTAACTGAGACACTGTCTCAGCACTGGAATGCTACTTCACTGTAGAGAGGTGCATATCACTTTTAAAATCCCTTGTTGTGTGCCTGTTTCAGTCCCTAAGGAGAGAGGTCAGGTAACAGGGCCAATAGACTTAGAACCTGAGGGTTACTTGCCTGAAATTCATATGGAATTCTTCAACAATATCGTTACTTTTTTTTCCCCTGACTTATGCCAATAAAGATAAAAATCATAAACTCCTTTGGATAAAATCGCTAGCTAAACAACTTTATATAATATACCTTCTACAAAGTGTCCCTATGAGAGGGATTCAGCTCAGAAACTTTATCGCTACATCTTATTGGATATATTATCCCTTTGGCCCTGGAATCCCATTTTGGCCATAGTCTGATCTCTCTCTGTCCTCTCAGCCATTCCGCGCTTCTCCTGTTTCTCAGGAGGTCCGTGTGAGAAGGGCAGGATGGGTCACGGACACATCCCTAGAAACAGGAGTGCTGTGGCAGTGCTATACGAGTTCAGGCACCATCAGGGGAACGGCATGCTGGGAAAAATCCAACGTCTCCGCTGGAGCCTGAGCACCTTCAGAGCAACCTGAAACAATAATAATTTAACACCCCCCCCCCCCCCACCCAAAAAATGCTAAGAATGTTAAGTACCTTGCAAATAAAAACCTGGACGTGCCAGGTTCACTTCCCCTGCTGGTGTACCTTTCAGAAAGCTACTTAACCATAATTAACATGCATTGATGGGTACAGAAATGTTTGCTGTAAGGTTAAGGTCTTGTTAAAAGTGCTGGTAACACTTTACTTGAGGGGACACAAATAATAGAGAAATACACTCTCACGTAATGTATTGCCCAGAAACTAAGTGTTAGTTAAATACTGATCCCTTGTCCATTCATCATTAATCAATCTTTAAGGTTAACAGTTATCAAACAATTTAAATATGCATGTCTTCATTTTAGGCAAGTATCAGGCAGGGATTATACAGCGTTTGTATGGATCTTCTGTGTTAGGCTTGTTGTTTAGGGTATAGTCCAGTGTTTATGTTGGCCTGCAGCGTAACCAGACCCAGGCCATGGTGATGAGAAGTAAAAAAAAAAAACACCAAACAAGGTAACACTTAACGGTACTTTAGCAATAAGTAATGATTGTTTTGAACTTTCTTAATAGCGTCCTAATCAGGCCTCAAGCAACAGCATAACACAAGACTCCGGAGCCGTAGAAAGCTCAGCCAGGGATGAATCATGTGTTTTCCGCTCTCCAGAGGATTGATAGGAGAGGTCTGGTTTCCTGAGGAATTGAGGCTCTGATAAAGACCCAGTGTACTGACTGCTGCCTTAGATAGCGTTGCCACCTCTGACCCGATTTAGTTACAACAGCCTCCAGAAGCAAATGAGAGGGAATTTGGCAGGTGCTTTTCCTGTTTTGCTAAATCTATGAGTGTAAACATATCAGCAGCCTTGGAAATGGTGCTGCTTTGTCCTTAAAATTATGTTCTGCTACTTGTTTACAAGTATATAAACAGCAAGTGAATTTTATATATATATATATATATATTATAAAATTTTATATTTATTATAAAATTTTATATTTATTATAACATTATATATATATTAATAAATATATATATAACAAATATAAAATTTTATTATATATATATATATATATATATAAAATTTACTTGCTGTTGCCCGAGGCACAGCTATGGAACCAGAGTCTGCCAGCCAACCAATTAGCATTTACTTGACTACGCAGGGAGAAAATGATTGGTTGCTGTATGATGTTGCATGACTTCTAAAGAGTTCTTGTTGTGTATATTCCTCAGAGGGATGTTACTCTATCTTTTTCACTCTTTAACAATCGTATACCACAGTTATTTTTTTCTTTCTCTATCTCTGTTAGTATCCCATCCATTCAGCTAGTCATTCAGGGTTTATCCTTTTCCTGCTCTACTAACATCTCACAGGTGGCTGTAAAGACAAGTGAGCTACAGCCTGTGGTCACATGATGCCTCTGACAGTAAACCTGATTGGCCCATCTCCCTGGGGCTTCCGAGTATCCGGAGGGAAGGATTTCAAGAAAGCACTAATTGTTTCCAAGGTGAGCCCTGAATGCTGAGTGGGATAGAGCCTCAGGTTTGACATGTTGGTTGACCCAGGAAAAGCTCACTACTCTTTCCACTCCAGCAGCATCCAGAAGTTTTGCCTGCTGGGTGATTTTGGGCAGTGAGGGTGTAGAATAAGTTATTGGTGACATTACTGGGACAATGTGGTTGGTAATTTGAGGTGCCAGATCTTCCTTTGTTTTGTTATCTGTGACAGACTGGTTGCTAATCTTCTGAATTGAGGCATGATAAGAAGAAAGGTAAGCTCGAGATGGCTCTAAACATCTTACGTTACATGGCTGTCTGTGCTGTGCTAGTTTATTGGTAAGCATTGCAGCAGTATTTAAGGTGACGTTAGTCTTGGAATAATGTTTTGGCTAGTTTTTTGGGGTGCTTTTCAGGAGAGTATACAATGTCTGGGGTAAGGACTTAACAGCGGCAGTGCTGAGGTGATTCTTGTACCATATATTTGTTAGTCTGTACGTCTTTACGTTTGCCTGTTTTAATTTGCTGTCTTTTTGGTGATGTATATGTTTCTTTACGTTTTCATGTGCCCCCTCTCTTGGCCTCACTTTTCCTCTTCCAGGTCAGTGGGGGCAGCAAAGCAGAGCTAGCAGACCTGCGGGTAGGTGATGTCATCCTGGAGGTCAATGGGGAGAGCACAAGTGAGATGCTGAACACTGAGGCACAGAACAATATCAGAAGCTCCAGGACACTGCTTCGGCTGCTGGTTGCCCGGTAAGGGGCTTTCTTCACTTTGAACACTCATAGCAATCTCCTCCTCTCTGGGAGTGGGTTGCATTTCAGGAGGACGCATTGTTGAACTTGATAGCAACAAACTATGCTGGCCACTGTGGACTAGAAAAACATCATCAGAAACTTGCTATATGCATCAAAAGACCCGAGCTTCCTCAGAAAGTAGTCTTCTCTGGCCCTATTTGTACAGTACACTACATAGTGTACTGAGTCTTCCTTGCTGATGCATCCTACAGAGCATAACCTTCCAGCTGCACCCTGCTCTGTGCACTCTAAAAATTGCGCATTCAGCAGTGTGTGCTATGTAGTGTACACTACAGTACTGAGAGTGCCCTTTAGAATACGTCCTACAGCACACACCCTTCTGGGTGTACTCTTCTTAGTTCATCCTATGAATTGTACACTACAGAGTGCGCACAATGGAGTGTACTGAGTGTGCCCTTTAGTATACATCCTACAGCACACACCCTTTTGGGTGTACCCTTCTTATGTACCCTACAAAGTATACACTATAGAGTGTACACTATGCAGTGCTCTTTGTGGAGTGCACACTATGGTAATGACAATGATGCCACTTCTGCCATCTGCTTCAATCTTTGAAAAAGCAGAACAGTGCCTGAAAACAGTCTGAACAAACATCATCTCTTTTATACATCTCAACTGGTTCTTGTTACTGCTTTATAAGTTCACAGAATCATTTGAAAAGCATGGCTGTGCTTTGTTTGTTAGTGTCGTCTTGTCTAAAGATCTTGTGTAAATGAGCTACCTCCTTCTTCACGTCCTGCTCCATGATTGGTGGCTTAACCCATGAAAAAAGAAAAGGTTAATACATTCCAACAAAGTCAGCAGGGGAAACTCACGTTGCTCCACACACAGCAGTTACTGCCTCAGTATTTCTAAACATTTAAATAATGATGGTTTTTTTCAGTTTATGTCTTAGAAGTATGACTTCCAGAAATGTGTGGCTGGGCTTTGGCAGAACCATTCTGTTGCGGTGGATTGTTGAAGCCAGACTGGGAAGCAGAATTTCCTCTCTAGAATCAGTGGAGGCCAGATGTGGAATTCTGGTCCCAGGTCAACCATGACCTATGTTGTGGGAGAGGACCTGGTCCATTTGGGGATGTCCCACACAGAGTCAGGATAGAAACATCAAGGCAAACCTCATCCCAGGCTAGAAATGCATGTCAGCACCCATGGCAGCTATATGTAGGGAATGCAGTTTATGACTAGGGTGTTACCCAAAGGGTGAGTGATTAGGGAGTACCACCCAGTTTGGAAACAGCTTCTAATTAGTTCCTTTCTGTGTTTGCGCCCCCGCAGGCCAGGACCACCTGGTCCGGGATGCACTGATGGGATCACTCCTCCAGAGCAGGTCAGAGACCTTCCTGCACAGTTTTTTGGGGGGGGGGGGGATTGAGCTGATATGGCTGCTGGCTGGGAACAACGTGCACACATGTGTACTGTTTAACATACTATGACTAGGTGGAGAAAAGTGGGAGGAGCAACAATGATGTAATATTCTCTTCTAGAGAAGTTTATCCATTACTGATGGATGTGCTGCGTTACCCAATTAAGCACAATAATATTACTGCTATGTTTTTTTGATTTCTCAATATTTAATAGCTTGCGCGTGGATGTATAAGCCTTCATATAAAGATCAATATTAGCTGAAGTATCTGCTTTTATATACATTACCTGTTGTAGTGACTTAATCCTTCCTATTAGTATATTTTGATTTTTTAGATCACAGATATTGGCTCAGTACTGCTGTGTGTGCTCTGTGTTTCATTAAAAACTAGGATTTGATGGTTAAAAAAAAAAGCTCAGTGATGTGCACTTCCGTCTTCCATACTGAAGGAGGTGCTCTTTGCAAGTCAGAGCAGCAGCGTGGAGCCCGTCTCATCCAGAGTTAGTTTCCCAGAGCCACCCGACAACCCCAAGGGGATTATGGGGACCCATACTCCAGCCAAAGCCAAGAGGTAACAGCTACCGAAGATTTGTTTAGAGGGACTTTTATGTGGGGTTTGGTTGCTGTACAGCTGGGTTCGAGTCGGGTTGTAGTTTTTAACTCTTAAGCAAGGCAATGCAATGCACTAAAGATACCAATGCTGTACTGGCCATTAAATTTCCTCATTTATGCCCCATCAATGACAGCCAAACCCTGTTCCAAACCTCCACCCAAAAGCCACAGGAAAGCCATCAGCTGTCTGTAATCAGCTGTCATCAGCAGTGCTCCAAGCCCCAGGACCATCCCACCCCATTGATTCTAGCAGCAGAAAGCTTGTAAATGATACGAAGATGAAGCCAATCATATCAAGGCAAGCCAGTCTTCGGAACTCAGAAAGCGTTTCCAGACTTTCGTTCTGCAAGATGACCTACAGTTTTACATTAATAGATAACAATTTGGTAATTTTCCTTAAAAAGTCAGTCGAAGACACTTTTGTAAGCATGACGGTGCCACTATGTCTAATTCACATGATTCAAATCGTGCAATTCTGTGACAGAACAAAATATTTGTGTTATTTGTTGAGCGTGATCAGTATCAAAACAAGGGCCGACACAGCCTGTGGCCCCCAAAAACCAGAGCTGAACAACTATGTGGTGAACAGCAGTAGATTGGAACAGGTTGATTGAAGGTGGGTGTTCATGCTAAGATTGTGTGTCCGTGGGAAAAGGACAGTAACTGACTGAACAGCAAATTTCCAAAATTCACTCAGTCCATTTTTAGTTGTTTCTGAGATGGATCCACCAATGTCAGGCTTTCACATCGTGTGTTACAGTATTAGGTACCAAAACTCAGTCAGTCATGTAATCCAGCAAAGAACTTTTGTTAAATTTCCACACTTAGTGGATTCACTAAGTCCACAGAAATGGCACTTATTTACAAACGTATCCCATCTATGTATCCCATAGACTGAGTGAGTTTTGGAAACTTGCTCTTCAAATGGTTCAATGCATATAAGACACACTTTATGGCCAAATGTATGTGGACACCAGCTTATCCAACATCTCACTCTGAAACCAAGGGCAATTACCATGAAGTGTGTTAGCCCTTTGTCGCTATAATAACCTCTACATCTCTGGGAGGCCTTCCATTAGATGCTGGAAATTGTCACTATTCAGGTTGACCAGGAGGCATAAATTTGCCAAGCTGACATAACATCCCGAGACGGTGCAACGGTGAAGGTATCCCGTATCTCTCCTGTAACCTCTCCCGTATCTCTCCTGTATCTCTCGCGTATCTCTCCTGTATCTCTCCCATATCTCTCCCGTATCTCTCCTGTAACCTCTCCCGTATCTCTCCTGTATCTCTCGCGTATCTCTCCTGTATCTCTCCCATATCTCTCCCGTATCTCTCCTGTAACCTCTCCCGTATCTCTCCCGTATCTCTCCTGCATGACCCTCCTATTCTGTTGCCAGTTTATTTGCTGCAGATTACATGGCTGTTTGCTTAATTATACACTGAGTCAGCAACAGGTGTGGCTTAATTAGCTAGTTCCTCTAATTAATATTCACCCATGAGCCCATGTCCTTTTGGTCATATAGTGCATATTGAATATAATTATCCATTTAAGAAAGTACTTGGAAAACCATATTCTGTGTTGGAAATATGCTCTGTGATTAATATATCCATATATTGGCATTTTATATTTCAGGCCTCAAAACCTCCACGACAGACACTGGGGGCTCTGAACCTTCTTCACTCACTCTCCCTCCAACATGTACCTGCTCTGTGTCTCTACAGGTTGTGCAGCATCCAGCCTCGAACCTTCAACCACGGGCTTGCCAGACTTGCAGCCCAGGTAACTGGGTCTTCTGTCCCTCATCTCTAGACCTTTCTCCACCCACACGTCAAGGATTCCTCCAAAGCATATATACTTGATTCATCAACTCAATACCTTCCACCGCTCCCAGTGATCCCAAATGTGTCCCACATGGTTGTTGTTATGAGACGTTTGTCGGCTCTGGTGGCCCAACAGGAGGGGTTGATAGGAGGTTCTAGGTGTCTTCTACAGAGCATCCAAAGGAACCTGGCAGTGAGGCGGCAGCTGTTCCGAGTTGCCATCATTAACGTTTCTGCATTTGATGTTTTACATGTCACAGGCTATGCAGAGAAATTCATTTGTCAATTATGAGATTGGATGGCTCTCCAGCCAGTAGACAGGAAGTCAAAGAAACATAACACTCTCTGAAATGCATATACAAATGCCATAATGCTCTTTGGAAAAACGTGGAGCTGTACGGAGAGAAGAACTCTGCAGTCACAGCTGCAAAAAATTACAGTTTTTTTTTTTTGGATGTAATTTATAGCTGAAACTTAGGCAGATGGTGAGTGTGAGAAGAACGTCAAGAACGGCATTAATGAACTGGAGGCGGCCCAGGAGACCCTCTGATCTCAGTCATGATTGGAGCTCTGGCTTCTTTGACTGGGGGGTCCTGTAACTGCAGTGACAGGACGCCAACTTGCACAATGTCATATGGAATGCTATTTGTTAATGACACTCCAGACAGACATATCACAAACAAGGGTCGCTGGTTTTAGTAATAGGACCTGCTCCTTCATTTTTTCAGGTAAAGCATCTAAGTTCAGTTCAGTTGTGTCAAATGCATTAAACTATACATTGTTTTGGCAATTGCAAAGGGCGAGACGGTGAAACTCTTACTATTTATTTGGCCAATGATACCGGAGATGGGAATCACTCCAAAGAACATGTGTTAAGGACCTGTCCCCTATGATTATTTCTAGAAATGAAAACAGCAGATGGACAGGTCAGATATAAGCTGCAATGATGAATTATCCATCACCCTGAACAAAACGACATACTTACTATAATCAGGCTATGGCAGACAACTAGCATTTAGAGGTATGCCGCTGTAAGAACCTTTGTAGATGATCCATAGTCACTCATCTGTAAGGAGCCTGCAGCTCAGCTTTGACTGAAGGGAGGCGGGTTTCTTACTCTCCTGACCTGGAGAGTAGGGATGCCAAGACCCAAATGTAACCCCCCCCCCCCCGACTTCCCGGAATCCAACCTTTCTCATGCCAGCCAGACCATGAGAAACCTGTTTGTTTTTCCAGGTCTTTAAGTAGGAAGGTCGAAAATGGGCATTCTATCCCCACTGTAGATCTCTTCCCCCCCCACCGTAGATCCCCCCCCTCCACTGTAGATCCCCCCCTTCTTCTCTTCATGAGCCTGGATGTGGGTGTTGGTCTTTCCTGTCCTTCTATTTTTTTTGAGCAGTGGAGATTGTTGACAAAGAGAGGTGGATAGTTCAGGTCCAGGGAGAACAAATCCACACCAAGATTTTGTTTCAACCGACCTGCTGAGTGACTGTGACTCTTTATACTCGACTGGTTGGTTGAAACAAAATCTTGGTCTGGATTTTTGCTTTCGGGAACTGAACTATTCATCTCTGTTGACAATGGACATTGGTTGAATAAGAGTAGAATCCTTCAGCCCTTTGTCGCTGCGGCTGTGGCCAAAGGAGTGTAGGGTGCGTGTTAGCATTCCCCACACTGCCGCTGAGGATACCACCTAACATTTCATTGTTTTCTTTTTCTGCCACATTGTTTTTTGTTCCTGCCACATGCTGGCAACTGATGAGGCGTTACAGCTGGCCAGTGAGCGTGATGATGCAGCCTGACGATGCACCACAAACACTTTAGCATCTGGTCCTACTGCCGGTTTCACTAAGAATACTGGCAGTGGCATGATGTAGAAAGCCTGGGGGATATTAGATGCAGCTTTCAGTTGAGTCGCGTGTGTGCATGGCTGAATGAGTAATTCTGGCATGACATCGATGATCCCTTGGCAATTTTGTTCTAAGCTGCTGGCATCATATTTTGTGAATGACAGAGGCACTTCTCATACTCGTAACCCACCCACTCCCCCAAATCGAAGGCTGTAGTCAGCACTGTGTCTCGTTAGCGCCACCATAAACGGCTGCAAATGATCCTGCAAGAGGTGGGCCGCCCTGGGCCTCACTGGAGCAGCATGTGTGAAGTTCATTAAATGCTCACTGGCCAGGGGCGCCAACTATGACTCATCACTGATACCAAGTCAGCATGACCAGGGACAAATCGGTTCGGCAGGCGCTGGCCGTCTTGGTCACTGGGAGAGGTTGGGTTAAACCTCCCACCATGGAGAGCATTTTGGGACCATGGATACCATCAAATCTGAGGAAAGATTTTTATTAGAGCTCACTAAACGATGAAATTGTAATTATGTGGCGCGATGCAGCTGTCCAGCATTGTAAAGGGAATGTAAATAGAGCATAGACACAAACTGCATCCAGGGAGCGTTTGAGTCTTGCCAGTGGTCTCCGTGGAGACGGACTCCCGTTCCTCGTGGCCGGCCTGTGGGACCGGGAATAATTGCATGTTGACTTATTTTCAGCCACATTCCTGTCGCCCCACTCCGATCCAACACAAACAGGCTGCAGCCTAGGCCAGACTCCATTCCTGGTCTCCTGGAGGGGTACTGTGGGTGGGGTGGGGGGCTGTGTAATTAAACAGAATGTGGGGTCGAATTGGCTGAAATGTGTCTATAAAAGGTGAAACGAGCGGGAGCACTGTATTTTGGTCTATCAGCGGCTGTCTGAAGCAGTCTAAGCAGGCTGTGCCGGGGAGCCGCGCCGGGGAGCCGCGCCGGACATTAGCGAGGCCTCCAAGGCCACAGTGTCACCCCAGAGGCCAAGGGGAGGCAGATGAGTTAAGGGGTGGGGTCTGGATCACTCTTCCTCCATCTCTCTCAGGTCAGACTAAGCATGGTTGGATGGAGGCTTGCTGGAGCAGACGTGGTGCTGAACACTGATTCTCAGCACAGACTTTACAGTTTGCTCTGCAGTCCCTGATCATTAAATCACTTTAGCAATGTAAAAGCACCATTAGCCGATAAAAGTATGACTAACGGGACTAACGCTGTTCTGTTTCGCTTTTGAATTGGGTCGTGGAAGTTGCTGGAGCACAGGCCTGTGATTGGCTGGGGCATCCCCCTGGCGGAGCTCACAGGAAGCCCAGGTTCCGGGATCTGTCTCCCAAATGTCCCCCACGATGTAATAAAAACCTGTTATTTTAATGTTGTGGGGACCATATTTCAGGTCCCCACAAAGATCTGTGAATGCAATCAAAAAACAAAAAATGCTGAAAGTCTCATATTTTGTTTGGTTACTCATGGTTAAGCTTAGGTAGGGGTTAAGGTCATCATGTTGGGATTAGAGTTTACTCCATAGAAATGAATGGAGAGTCCCCACTAAGATATAACTATGAACCTGTGTGTGTGTGTGTGTGTGAGCAGGTGTACCTTACCTTATGAGGACACAGTGCGCTGGGTAGGGGTTAAGGTTGTCATAGTTAGCATTAGCATTTTTCCCATAGAAATTAATGAGCGGTCCCCATAAAGATATGTTTACCCAACGTGTGTGTGTGTGTGTGTGTGTGTGTGCAAGTTATACATCTACGTACAGGGTCCCTGAATGGATAAAGGGCTCCCTCATGTGGACAGAAAGAGTTATTAGTTGTCCTCCGTCCATCTGTCAACTTGTTGTATAAGCAACACAGAGAAGGGAAGGTGTCTTTTAAGGAGAAAATTAGGGCTAATTTAGGTGCTTGAATGCTGTTCTAGGCATGAAGTCGGTGGGGGGGGAATAACGGTGTTTAAATGAATAATGCAGGAATTTGGAGTAGGAAAATGCGAACTAATTCAACCTTTCTTCCTTACTCTGTCTGCATGTCTTCCAGGATCTCCTCTCAGCCGCCGAAAAGGGCAGCTCTACACCCAGTCTGACTGCCCCCCCCCCAGTAAGCCTGCTCTCCCCGGACCCCAGCGATACAGAAATGCCCGCTCCTCACAGACAAAGGTGAGCATTTTAACAGGCCCGGTACACCCCCTACGGAAGAAGAATCTTGGCAGCCATCATTATGAATAACAGAAAGGTCTATATGTGTGGCTTTTCGCTCCAACCACAGGCAGCCTTGCAGCACTAATTACCGCTTGTAGCACTTACATACCATTTGTAGAGGTAACATATCATTTGTAGTGCTAATGTACCTTGTAAGCATTATACACCTTTCTGCAACCTGTAATACAGTGTTTCTCGGACCAGTCCGTGGGGACCCCCACACAGTCCATGTTTTTGCTTCCTCCCAGCTTCCAGGGAATTGGGAGAAAGCAAAAATGTGAACCGTCTGTGGGTCCCCAAAGACTGGTCCGAGAAACACTGCCCTAGTTAAAGGGAAAAGAGAGGTGCAGCTGAAAATGTTAAATTCCAGAGCATAATGCTGAAAAGGTAAGGTGAGATGCTGACGTGCATATGGTAATATTTCTCAAAATATCTCTGTTCATAATATCACAAGCATACTCATATCTTCACTGCTAAAAGCATGGACAATGAGGTCATAGGTCAGGGTGTCAAAAGTCATGTGGGGCCATACGCCGTCTTGTGGTCCGTCTCCACGTGCCAGAGGCTATTGCACTTATCTTGGAAGAAGAGCCACAAGCCACAAAATACCAAAAAACTGGAAAAACCACAAACCTGCGCAAACCTTTCTTTCTGGAAAGGAGAAACATTGTATTTAACATTTTTAGTCAGTGATTTTTTTCTTATTCTGAGATTTTTGTAGATTCATTTTTTTGTTCGGATTCGCTAAGCGCATTAGAAATTTTAAATTAATGGGCAGTTTGCACAATGCATATGTGTGTGAGATTTCCTGATATATAATCAGTACAGTCTGTTCAGTCTAGTACCCAGATGCACAAATGGGAAAATGTGTAAATACTGAAAACTATATTTAGGCATTAAGAAATTATAGCAATAAAGTCATAGTCCAATCTGGCCTTCATCATCCATGCCCCAATGATATTTTTCCGCCTGTTAAGTTGTGTTTCCATTTCCCCAATCAGAGGACAGCTCCAATTACAGGCCCGCCCCTTTTGTTATTTCAAAGCCTGTGAGTGGCTGACCCAGCTCAGCATATCAGCCCTCCCGCTCTCTTTCATGTGTGAGACTGATTCATTCCTGTGGGGTGTGTGTGTTAGCACGTCTGTGTTTGTGTACGTATGTGCATGTATTCTGAGAAATACAGACTATCACAGCAGGCTGGATAAACGCAGATGCTCCTATCCTGCCCACCAGCATTAGCAGGCCTATGAGAAATTTATTTTGATTTTCAGGTAAGTCTGTTCATGTTTTGTCTTTCTTTTTGAATATTTACATGACTAAGTCTCAGAAAAAACACCCAGTGATTTTATATTGGAATATGTCATTTTTTGATACAGCTCTTATTTATTTAATTTTTTATTAAACATTCATTCTGAATAGTTCAGTGTCTGCTTCTAAACCTGGATTTCAGCACTTTCCCCAAGGGATGACTTTGAAGTTTGATTTTTTTTTTTGAAGTTTTTTGGATCTCTGGATTGAGTTAGGCATGCACTTCTAATGGAATAAAACCAAAGAAATATGTGGGTGCTTTTTTTTTTATTGTAAGATGACAAACACCTTACTGTATAGAGTGCCTTGTGAGATATTTCCGACACAGTATGAGAAGATGCTGGTCTGTTTGTTGTCCTTCTTGGCCTGAGTTTAAGCACCGATAGGAGGGATTGAGATGATGATGTGGGGTATTAGGATGCTGCTTGTATGACTGCTGGTATTGGAAGATCCTTTATTATTTACATGTACTGTTGCACGTTTATTGTTGCATATTGAGATCAGCAGTTGTTGGTTGCTTGTTTGAGATTTTTGACTTGGAATCTCGTTTGAGATTATTTTTATGCTTATATTGAGCTTAGAATAATAAAAGAGGCAGACCTTTCAGCTACTTATAAGAAGCACACACATGCAGACGCATGCACACACAGACAGGCTCACGTGCAAGATTGTTTTTCTCTTACAGACAATATGAAAATATAAGCTGATGTATTCCATCCCCTTTGGGAACAGATGTGTGTATTTATGGCAATATACAAATCATACAAAAGGAGAATATTACTCATGGGAAGCATAAAATTAAACAGCTGCAGTAGCAAGTTTTTGCTGCCTGTGGTATTTTCTCATAGCCAACCCGCTGTGTTCAGGTAACACTCATTAATTACGTAACAAGCAAACTGTCTGACGGAGCTGGAAGCTTCATTCCACTTCGCCGTAAACCCACTGAAAAAAACAGTAAATACGGGTATCCCTGCTTGCATTGTGATTGCAGATGTTTCCTGTTTCAGCTACACCGGAGGCTTATTAAATGTAATAAGCCATTTACACGTTTAAATGTGTGAAGGCAGAGATGCGGAGTGGCAGAGAGGGCTCAACACGCAGCGCCCTGAGGATTCGAGGTCTACTGTGTGTGGCATAATTAAGGGTATTTAATACACCTATTCATGCAGGAATAAGCCAGGCACAGGACCATAAATTCATTCTGTGCTTTGCTTGCCAATGAACTAAATGAACTCAGGTATGGAGCTGTTTGGCCACCTCTTCTCCATATTTAGAAAGCTGTTTTGGAAAGATAGTCCATGTTATAAAACAGTGAATCAGGTATGTGTAGCACATCAATAACGGTGCCTCATGACATAAATGATTATTAAAAATCAATCCTATGCTATACAATGTGACTGTGAACAGGCCACACACAGCATTTCGGTGATTGATGGTTCAAAATATGTATTTACATTGGGTGTATGAGATGTCTTTAGCAGGTGCTGACATGGCAGACGCATGTTTGAGCTTACAATATAAACATGCTCATGTTCTAGTTACTAAATGGGCCTGTTAAATTAGCTAGTTAAAGACCATTGTTCTATTCCAGCATGGAGAGGCTGGATCGTGACTCCGAGGTCTACAAGATGCTCCAGGAGAACAGGCACTCACGCACCCAACCCCGCCAGTCATACAGCTTCCGCCTGCTGCAGGAGGAACTGGAGGCAGGAGAGAAAGGTGAGACCGCAGCTCCTGCCTGTGCCCAGCAGGGGGCGCCGCTGCTCCATACATATCTCTGGCAAATACGTCAAAGGTGGTTTAGCAATAGAGAAATCTGGATACGCTGCTAAAAAGAAAACCTCCCGGATCAAATCTAGAGAGTTATGCTCAGAGCACTTTCAAGCCAGGTGCTCAGTCTGCAAAGTCTTTAAAGGCTTCCACTGTTTAAACTGGCAACATGTATATAGCAGCTTGCAGTTACCGTATCAGCAAGAGCCCATGGTAATTTAATGGGAAGGGAAAGTGTCCTTGTTACTCCTGTGTATAATGAAACACCCGCTGGCGTTTCCCCCCTAAGCCCAGCAGTGACTGCTGAGACCTGCTTGCTTGCATGAGCAAACTGTCAATGTCCCCTTCTCTTAATGAGGACACTCTCCACTCTCCGTCCGCTCCAGGTGAAAACTCGCGATTGCCGCCGCGGCTGAGCAGCTCCGCCTCTGGCTCGCAGCAGCTGCACACCTGTGAGAGATGTGGCACCAGCATTGTGTGAGCTTCTCAGTTCCATATGAACCGCCTGCAGCACTGTATAATCTCAGGCCCCCGTACTGTTGTATAGACTCAGACCTTGGTACTGAGTTGCTGTACAGACTCTAGCAGATATTATTATACACTTAGGCTGTTGTATTGAATCATTCAGATATGTATGTTCAGGTTGCTGTAGAGAATGATACAGTTGTACAGACTCAAACCACAGTATGTACTCATGCTGTAATATAGACTCAGACCAGTGTTAATATCTAGGCTGCTGTATAGGCTCACATTGCTGTATGGACTCAAACTGCTGTACAGACTCACATTGCTGTATGGACTCTGCTGTGTTGACTCATTACTGTATGGACTCACTTGGCTGTGTCGACTCGGACTGCTACGTGGACTCACATTGCTATATGGACTCACACTTCTGTACAGACTCACGTTGCTGTATGGACTCTGCTGTATTGACTCACATTGCTGCATGGACTCACTTGGCTGTGTCGACTCGGACTGCTATGTGGACTCACACTGCTGTATGGACTCACACTGGTGTATAGACTCACACTTGTGTCCGACTTCTCTATGGACTATCTGTCCTCCTTTCCTCCAGCACGCAGGCTGTACGCATCACAGAGGGCCGCTACCGACACCCAGAGTGCTACTCCTGTGCGCAGTGTGGCCTCAGTCTGAAGATGCGTGGCCACTTCTGGGTGGGGGATGAGATGTTCTGTGAGAAGCACGCCCAGGAGCGGTACCGAGGTCCTGGCAGTGGGCGCCGAGCCGCCGTCTCCCCTCCCCATTAGACCCCCCCTCCCCCCCCAGCATCCTCACTTTCACAGATACCGGTCACTGTGTCAGACCCTGGTTCCCCGTCTAACTCTAGTAGCTGCTCCAGCAGTTGAAGCCCAGCTTGGCCACTGGGATCAGGCTATTCAACCCCATACTTCTCCAAAGCCCTGGTCCTCACCCTCTAAGCCCTGTGGTGACAAACTGCCCCTGTTATTTTGTCTACTGGATTCCTCCATTGCGAATGAGCTGGACAAGGACGCAGTGGTGGAGAAGCAGTACCTAGAACCTCTATGATCTTTGACTCTCTTTTAACATTTTTTTTAGAGAAATTATAAGTGCTCCTCCTCCCAGCAGTGCAGGAGAGAACCATAGAAGGCAGCATTTGGCTTTGATTGGTTATATAGCATCATACATTTTAGGCTGATATCAAGTGCTGCCTTGTCCCATATTTTATAATGTAATTCATAAAACAAGTTACATTCATGTCAGTTCAGTAGGTGATTGTGCCTTATGTGTCACAGGAAATAGAAATAATGATAAAGATCATTGCACCTGAACTCCTAGACTAAACACAATGAAAGGTAACTGAAAGGCATGTATTTTTCTTGATCTTATCACTGTTGTACATGTGGGTGTGAAAATGAGATTTCCTTATCCTTTGGGCATTTTCAAAGTAGCTAGTTTTAACCAGAATGAAAACGGATTGTCAGGTTTTTTGTGCTTACTGAACTTAAATATGAACCAAAGACATTCCATCTAGTTGTTTTGTGATAATTTGCAAACATCCCGGTTGATAAGTGGTCTGCCTTTGGCTTTTTCTCTTTCTTTCTGAAAGCTCTGGAATGATAGCCTGCTCTCACTATACTATGATATTTGACAGTGTAATGCCAGATTTTGTCAAGAGAGCTGGTCCGATTACCGAATGTGGAAGGAATTGCGATGGGATTGAGGTACAGACCTAAATTAAGATGATATGCGTGACAGATTCCACAGTGGTATGGAAACATATCGCTCAAAGTGAAAATCCCCAAAAAATAAAACGCAAATTGCAGTTATTTGGTTGTGGTGACTATATTGGGCTGGAACCAGTTGTTTTAACAGCTGGGACATGTAACTGGGACTATTGTAACGAATTACTATCAGATAATTCAGTCCTGTAGGTCTATGTGCCGATCGCAGGCTCTTGCTGGATGGCTGCTGGAACAGAACCAGGTCAGTCAGAGTAGTGCTGTTCTCTACAAGAGATACATAACAGTGATTGCATTAGTACCAGTGAACCAGTGTAAAGTTTGAACATATCCTGACAATTTGTAACCATCTATGCGTCTCTGAAAACCCTAAAGAAGAGGCAATGGTACGAACACAGGTGAGCCACTTAAGGGTCTGAATTTTTAACAGTTTTCATGGAGTTTGAAATCTGTTTTGGTTTGTACTAGTGTGCAATTTGTGCATTTACATTTACCGCAAACTGAACTCCTCTCAAATAAATTTTAAATAATATAAAAAGAATAAAATATTATAAATATAATAACCCTGTGCCCTCTGAAAGGAACATAATTGGCCTGGATGTTCCTTCACTAGCAGCTGTTGTCTTTTCCATAATCATTCTCGTTATTGCTGTTTTATGAGGGACCGCTTATAGCCCACCTAGGTTCGTACCCTACTTCATAGACACGCTGCTTTGCAGGGATGCAGCGGTTTAGGTCTCCGAACCTGAGAAGCCGCTTTGCAGTGGGTTTCAGTTTCACAATGTGTCGGATTTGCCGAGTCTTGTGGTCCTGCCACCTAAAGGTCTCCGCTGTGAGTCATCATGTGTGAATTATGTTTATAAAAAGCAACAATGACAACTTTATATATAGGGCAGCACTCGTACATGGAAGAATGAATTCTCACTCCAAGGTTAAAATGGAATAGGCCAGGACAGTCGTAGTCTGCATATCCACTATGATGCCAAGCAAGAATGGCGCCAAACTAGTAACTATTATGATTATTATTACAATGAAGTATGTGGTGACAGAATAATAAAATACGACTTCATGATAGTTCATTTTATGCTGTATTGTTCCAATGTGAGGAATATACAGATAGCACTGGAAAAAACATTGCTCTGCACGCTGTCAATATCGATTTCTGTATCTTAGATTAAACTAAAAGGTACATTTATCTTCAGCTAGGGTACAACTGCTAGACCCCTGAGGGTACACCCCCAGTGACAAGTCACTGTATCCTCAAAGATATAAATTGGTACCTTTTTTCTGACAGTGTACAGTAGGTCTGTAAGACAGCATTTATTCACAGAATGCAATACCATATAGGGATGAAACTGTATGGATTATCAATGCATGGGGAAAAAAACTTTACAGCACACCCTGATCGCAGCAATTGAAATATAAAATTAAAATACGCAGTGCCCGTCAAAAGTTTGGACACACCTTCCCACAGAAAGGTTTGTTTGCACACTCACACACCAGTCACTCACACGTGCACACCTAGGTCCAGGAAGGTGCTTTTCAGAGCATTTATCTTAGGAGCATCTTCTACAGGAGAGCACTGCTTCCCTGATTTTTCCAACTTTGTGACACACCTGCATCTGACTGACCATACAGCCTCACTTGTTTTTATATCCTGGAGTTCCAGTGCCTGTGATCAGAAAATCGGTGGTTTGAGCCTGGCCTTTGAAGAACAGTCACGTGTCCATGGGTGCTTCAGCAAGGCCCCCCCCCCTAGTAGGGGTGTCACACATTGGCTGAGCCTGTGCTGTGCCCTGCAAAGTATAGCAAAGAGATTGGGTAGACGAAGAGAAGAATTCCAATGTACTTGTGCAAATGGAAAATAAAGGATTTATCGTTTTGGACTGGTCCTTCACAGGAAGTGGTCTTATCACAACAAAGCTCACGCTAGTCTCGTGTGCCAGCACACAGGAATGTTAAAAATGCCAAATCATGCCACTTAGTGCCTTTTAAACTGCCTTTCTTCCTCTGGGTAATATCCATCTCTCTCTGGTCTTCATCATTAAAGAGTGGAGGGTAGAGTGATTACCCACTTTGGGCTGGGCACACCATATTGTGTGAGAGAATCTATTTTAATATGCAAAAATACTAACTCCTAATAACACACCTGTGCTTCAAGTGGTAGCAGATGTCAGTGAGCTGAGAAAATTTGCAAAGGACCACCACCTTCAAGTGTGAGCGGTCACACAGTCAGTCACGCACACACAGACAAAAGGCAGAAACAGGCCTGCAGAGCCACTGTCAACCCAGCGGCAGCAGGTCTGCTGCTCTGAAGACAGGAAGTTAACACTCATTAGTCACCTTTTGCGCTCCGTTGTGGGAGATTTGGACCTCGGCTTTTCAAATGTCATATTGTTGATACTGATTGTCTAAATGTCAAGCCGTACTACAGCTTGCAGTATGATTTTGATTGTCTAGCACCACTTTCCATTATAGTTCAGTAACACAGAGAGATAAAGAACCAAAAAAGCCACCCCTCGGCTGATTTTGCTGGCGTATGTGTGTGCAAAGATGATGCTTCTCTCACCATTACAGTGTTCATGTCAGTTTGCCAGTTTTGATATCTTCATATATTTCTATAAGACTGCAACTAACAAAATGCCCATCCAAGGATAGGACCTCTAAAAAACCCTGCCTACAGACCGCGTATTAGAAATAGACTGCCCTCTGCTGGGTAATGAATGTAATTGCACCCCGGCAGTCCCAAAACCCTAATTCTGATACACAATATCATCAACGACATTTATGGTACTACTTCTAAATCCGGTAGTAGGGTAACCAGATAATCCATGTCAGACACTTTGGGCTATGACAGGATTTGTAAACTACCATTTCACTTTAAGGACTGAGTTCTTGCTGCGTGCTGATTGGTCAGTCCCTGATAATCATGCATGTGTCACAAATGTTAATGTAAACAGCTGGATGAGTCTTTCAATCAAGGAAACAACCAGTCAAAGCACAAGAAGAACTGAACTATTCAGTCAAGCACAAGAGCCTCTTAGTGTTAAAGTAGTTTGTAAAACTTGAAGTAGCTCAACCTGTCCTCTCTGACATGGAATATCTGGTCACACTATCCGGTAGCCAAGAAAAAAAAGGGTTTTTTTCAAAAAGTATAATCTATGTCCATAAAATTTTAGTTTCCATGTTTGTCACCCGTCTCTGTGTCTTTTCGATGCTAAACCCCTATCGTTCTCTCACGTTTACTTTGCTTCCAATTCAAGATCAAGACATGTTAAGAGAAACAAGAAATCTTGTCCCATACTAAAATTAGATATTTATGCGAAAAACAAGCGGGCGTGGTATCCATGATCAAGCAGCTGTTGAACTACTCAGAGGTTGCTGCAAGGCTATAGGGGTAGTTGCGCAAAATGTATCGAAGCATTAAGCACCGAGTCGCTGACTGGAGGCGCTCAGATGGGTTACTGAGCAACGCGTCTCCTTAAACCTCAGCAGCGCAGCGATCGTTCCACGAAAAATGAAAGGCGTATACTGTGTGCAAAGCACGACAGGAGTAATTAAGTGCCACTGTGGGAAATGAATTACTTTTATCAAAACATCTGTGGAGATGGTCAGCTGGGATTTAAATAACCACGTCTTTCAGATTAAAATCTGACACAGCAGTTGCTATGATGAAACAGGACATATACCCAGTTATCCTAAGTAGTCCAACACATTTCAATGTAATCAAATCGTTAAGGTCTGACGTCTTTGATACTCTTTTTATGTCACGTACAAACCCAAATTTCAAAAATCCAAATGATATTTCATTAAAATAATCTATTCAAATAATCAACATGTTATTGGAATACAAGACTCATTGCAAAATTAATTTACATAAATGCGGTCCAGCCAAACCGGTTTCATTAAACCTAAGCATGCATAAAAACATTAGTAAAAGCTAGACAGTATTTGCATTTTATTAAACTATGTCAACGGTCCAGAAAGCTTGCATTTTGACCCCTCCCCTTCTCACACCAAGGTGGGAAGTCACATCAACAAATAAACTACCCCGGTCCAACGATATCACGGAAATACACGGTGTCGCTTAATCCAATTTAATTTTAACAGAAGTTATGAACTTCTCGCTTTGATGTAATTGTCGATGGACTGTTGCCTGGCGGCCGAAGCTACCTGTTAACGCCCCCTTTCCGTATCCTCCAATCAGCAGTTTAAATTCAAATGATTGATAAACATTGAACCAATAGGACACCAGGGTCTGTTTCGTGGAAGGAAGCAGAGGTGGAGTGTCTTGAGATCATTAACACCTAACGAGTAGGAAAACTTCGCGGGACAAAACGTATTGTAACATAGTCGAGTCGGGAACTGGATACTTTGTTTTCGGACACATTGTCTGTCTACTGGTGGGTCGAAAAAAGTGGATGTTAATTCGACGGGTGGGATATCCAGCAGATCGGGATCTTTTTAGGCTGTTCCGTTACCGCCCGAGAGAACGGAGAAACAGGAAACTTTCTTCCATACATCACAGGATCCTGCTGAAGTTTAATTCTTTTAATGGATTCGGTCGAACTGGCACTTTACAGGAAATATACAACACCTGACAAGTATCTAATACCAGAACTGTGAAATCAATTTAGCGCAATATAAACAATGTGTTATTGATCTATTTTATGTGTGAAAATTGATTTTTAATGTGTAGGTGAGAACATCAATAACAAAATATTTCTTTAGTGTAATCGATCGACCGTAATTTATCTAATATAGGGCTATATCGGTGTATATACCAATACGACATATTGGTGTATATTTTTATTCGATTTTTGGGTTAGTATACAGTTTATTAAAGTGCCTTCGGCGAAACGGGGGACGTGTCCAGTCTTGTGAAATTCTTTCCACCGAAGCAGGAGCTTTTCTGAGCAGAGGTGCCCCCAAGCTTGCAGAGAAGCACCAATGTCTTTGGCGGAGCAGAGTCAGCAGTGGTACCCCACAAGCGTGAAGGTGACGGTGCTACAGGCAAGGGATCTGAGGCTCAAGGGCAAGAATGGCACCAACGACGCATACGCCATCATGCAGGTGGCCAAGGACAAATTCTCCACGTCCGTGGCCGAGAAGAGCGTGACACCCATGTGGAAGGAGGAGGCCACCTTCGACCTGCCGCTCTTCCAGCAGGGAAGCGCCGATCGCAGCACGCTGTACGTGCAGGTGATGCACCGTGCTCTCATGGGCATGGACAAGATGCTGGGACAAGCCATCATCGACCTGGTGCAGCTGCAAGCGAACAAATCCCGCAACAAAACCGAGTGAGTGGCTTCTTACCGTGACAACTCCCTGCTTGCTTTTTTCCGCAAGGTATCAAATCGAATGTTAAATGAAGGGGCTTTGTCAGTTTGTGAGAAGATAAGGCTGACACATGAAAAGTTTTGTTCGTTTTGTTCAAGTTTAAAATGTCCTCTGGGTACAGCGTGTTTTTGTTATTTCATGTTATGGCTGATCACACTTAGTAATTATTCCAATGTCCAGACAAAACTACTTTTAATGTAACTAGGTCACAGGGGTCCAGCAGTAGTCACTGACAAACTGCCACACACACGGGCAAAATGCCGTTTGCTCTACCTGCCCCTACAAGGACCGTCACACCTACGGATCCTGTCTGGGAATCGTGGATTTGGTCTACAAACTAGGTGAATTTAACTGGTACCCCCCACCCCCCGCGTCCTTCCACGTTACGGTATAACCGCAGGAGCTGCTCTGTTTATTATTAGTGTTGTTATTTTGAACCTATCAACTTTCCTAAAAATAAGCGAATGCTCGTAAACGGAAGTTGCCAAGCGCACATTTCTACAAAGCTGTTTTTCAGAAAGGCCTGAGGGGCAGTCGGTAACCGCTGGGGGCGTTGGCCAGTGGAAAGCCTTCCGAACGAGAACGTCATTCTGAGTCAGGGGTGTGTGTGTGTGTGTGTGTAGGAGGGAGGGAAGGGGTAGTATTTTTTGAATGTCCATTTTGATTGGCTCACTGCGTAACAGTATCAAACAGGCTGATGTGTCTTGAAACACCTGTGTAATACTCAGTGTAGAGTGACTTTTATTTAGTGAAAACGTAGATTTCTTTAGTTTGGTTACTCCTTCCTTAGCAGCTTCAGTGTTGACATTGCGATTTATTAGTAATAGATTTCAATTTGCTCTCCAGTATATGACTAATTCCCATCCTGTTATTAAGTCTTACTTAACATGGTGTTGTAACCCTACTGCAGTTGCATAGCCTGCTGGTTAGCTTGTGTTTGTGTGTGTGTGTGTGTTTGTGTGTGTGTGTGTGTGTGTGTGTGTTGCCTTAGGCTGTGTGATTAGGCCCATACCTGAGCATGTGTGCATGTCCTTGGTACGTCTGTGTACCCACAGTAGTTCCCATTATGTGTAAACTGATCTCCTTTGAAACTCGACCTTGTAGATTAATGTAAATCAAGCTGCTTCCACCTTAGTCTCAAGGACCTCCTTGTACCCACCCCCAGTGCTGTGACCATGTGACAGGGCCTCCTCAGAGCCACTGATTCGCTTCACATTCCCGTTCCATTACTCAGATGTTTTGGTTTGTAACATTTTATGCTCTGATACCAGCTGCTCTCTCAGCACGGGATCTGTTGGGCCTTCTGTACATCGGTAGCGTTCTGAGGTTAAAATGCCTGTTAAACTGTAACATTAGCTAGTTTTTTCCTCTAGGAGCCACAAAAAAATCTAAAGCATAGAAGAAAAACAAAAAAGAGCACACAAATTAGTTGGCAGTGAGTGAGGAAAACCTAGCTATGGTTGGTGCACAGACGTACCACTGTGTTCCCAGCCAAGAGAACTTAATGTGGAGTTTCCAAACACTGTTACCAGTTGGCCTGCAGGTGGCGCAGCCTTTAACAAACCAGGTGAATCCCCCAAATGTTTCATTTTATAGTCTTGCAAGCATATCTGCTGTGGTTCTACTAGCCAAACTGTTCAACTCCAATGAGCTACTAGGGGAATGTATAATTGCCTGAAGCGTTATTTTTGTATGAACTGAGGTTAGAAGACATCGCTCATTTCTGTCTGTGTAGCTTCCGTTCCAGGGCCATCATGCTATATATTCCTCTCTGTTAGCCAGGGACGAATGTTTCTCTGAGGTCCGTTGTTTTATTAGCATTTCTGGTTCCTGCCCATGGAAAGTTGGAGGTTAGCAAGCAACTAGAAGAGGCGAGACCAAGACACCTGATTGGCAGGTCTCCCTCCTCTAGTTGCTTGGACCCACCTCCTCTACAACGTGATTGGTTATCTCTCTGAACCAGTCATTTTTCGTTCTGCCCTCAGAACATTTTATGTAAGTGAAACTCCCATGAGCTAATTTTTCCCTCTTTCTCCAGAATAATCAGAAGGCTTTGAAGACACGCACACCCCATGTGACCAGTCGGTCCCCCTCCCATCCGGCCAGGCATGTGCTCGCCCACATGCAGCTATGCTCAGAAGTGACGCTGGCTTGGCTCATTGTTTGTTTTCTGTGACACTTTGATGGTCACAGGTAGCAGAGGGATTAAGGAACTGAAACAGCAACTACTGTAAAGAGCTTTCCAGCACAAGTCCTAGAAATGTTTCAGTTACAGTATCTGCCTACACTTGTATAATTATAGCATATATTCAGGAGTCCGCAGTTATTTTTCCCAGAGGACCAAATTTTATCAGCCACACATAGCCAATGGCCACTGTCATAAAATTTGCCAGTCTGTGAGGGATGTTGACCCTAAAATTTGCAGAACTGGCCACCTATTAGGGAACCCTAGGGAAGGTTATTAGTTGTATTTTCGCCATTGTAATTGCTGTTATTAACGTTGTTATTCAGAAGTGTATGAGAATAGTGCAGCATCAAAGATAATTAAATAATAGATATTTCACTTTGGATTGAGTATAGCTCCTCAAATGTGGTTACATGCAGGGTTTGGCTGCCGTTTCATGATAAATGAATGTTGCGTCAGCCTGGTTGTACTGAGGCCTTCTGACTGACACAATGAGCTGGCTAGTGGGAAGTGGGTGTTGTGTGTTTGGGGAGGGGAGCTCAAAGAAGGCAAGAGCAGAAATACTATCTCTCTTGTCCAGGTCAGTTGGCCTGCTTTCCGTTTTCTGCCAGAAGACCTCTGTGATCCAAAAAAAATACTCCGTCTGTAGACGTTTAATTAACTGCAAGAATATGTGAAAGATGGTACCTCGTGGAAAAAAACCAAACCTGTCGTGGTCTTACTTTGATCAACTTTAAATACTCTGTAAAATTTCTAAACACATTTTCTTATGTGTTGGAGGAGAGTGGTTATGAATTAAAAGCAAAGGGAGAGCGGATGACAAGTCATCATGAAAATAAATGTCACGCTTTGTGTGTGTGTGTGTGTGTGTGTGTGTGAATGTGTGTGTGTCACAATCTCCACTTCCTCCTCCTCCTTCCTCTTTTCTAGGTCAACCCATAATGCTGCACTGTTTCCCTTCTGTCGAGTGTGATGGGTTTGTCTCACACGTGCGCAGGTGTGACAGTGTATCTTTGCCTGCAGAAGCCCCCTCCTTTATCGACACACCCAATTAGCGGCTGAATTCAGAAGCAGGGGGGTTGCTCACGTCACCCGGAATGAGAGCGATTTAATGAAAACATCCTGCTGTTGATTGTAACTTACAGAGGTCAAATAAATGGTTGCCATGGTTATAGAACATGGATACCCAAGGAACTGTTGTTTCATTGTACCCAAAAGCCTCCATAGACTAGCTCTTTTGCCCCTTTAAACATCCCCTTATTTTGCCATTAAGTTGTTGTCTTTTACATGGACAGATACAGAATGGAACCTACAGTTAATCTGACTAATGAATGTACAGGTGTACAAAAACACACGTGGAATTTATGCAACCATGTTTTCATCAGACACTCTATCCCACGTTGAATTGTCATCGTAGAAATAGTCCAGGCCTTTTTTCTTTCTCTCTGAAATGACTATAATAGCTGGGAGCTGGATTAGAGATCAGTTCGTGCGACTGATATGGGGCTGGAATCCAAAGGATCACTTCAATCGCTCTGAAGCGTGTGATCAGGTCACAGAGAAAGTGCTTGGGGATCTCAGCGCCGTTAATCGGTCTGGAGCGAAGTGCCGTGAGTGTGTCTCTCTGGAGCGATGGGTGGGGAAAATGATAGTGACATTTAGGAAGAACAACATAAGTGGACATACAGAGACTTGCAAAAGAAAACGGATTTAAGTCCTCAGTTTTTGTTCACCTCTCATTGTGAAACAGTTCTTCACCAGGGATCAACCGAAATAATTAGTAGTAAGAATCTTTGGGGGTGTTTAAGTGCTCTCCTTTTGCTGTAGGTGCTGTAAAATGGAACGTTTACACAAACACCAATGAATGTTTCATATTTACTGTATTCTAGAAGGACACTTGTTTGTAAAACACCACGACTGTTCTTGAACAGGAAAGGGTTACAGACGGAAATTTGTCTTCTTCCTGCCCTCTGCTCAAATGTGCTGAAGCAGCATAGTTGAACCTTAAGGTGAATAAGATTAGCAAGAATCCCGTGACCCCCCCCCCCTGTTTATTCTCGGCCTCTGTCTCTTTTTGACCCCCTGTTTGAAGGCCGGTTCATTTCCGGTTGCTGATGGCAGTACTACGGCCAGACCTGCATGCTGTTGTTATGACCTTCTCTCACAGTGGCCCTGACATTCCTATCTCGGGTCCTCCTGGCATCAGACGGGGCTGGCTCGTGTTTTTGCCTGTCTGTTTCTGGAATGCTTCTGTTGCAATTTCTGTTAGTCGTTGGGTGTTTTTATTTTTTTTTATAAGCCAACCCAAAAGAATAAGTTGGTAACAGCCCCAGAAAGCCACGCAAGGTTGTTTAGGAGGCTCTGCCTGACTGGGTGTTTTAGACTGTTGCCCAAATATGCACCAGTCCCTGTGTTCAGGGTAACACCTCTTCACTCACCTTTTTGTTCACCAAAGTGAGCTACACAACAAGTTTGTTCAGGTCTGTGATGATCGTTGGCACGTGAGCAACAGGGAAAAAGGCAGACATGTTGTAACCTGTGTTAAACCAATTGTTTACATGAATAGGGAAACATTCCTGTTAAATGTCACTAGGGGGTGGAGTAGTTAAGTGCATGAAGGTTGTCAGGGTTTTCTGTAGTGTTATTGAGTTCCAGCTACATAAATACATAAATTCTCCTTTGAATAACATGAAATAAGTAATAGAATAGAGATACTGTATTCATCCTCATCTATCCCGCTCTCCATGAGACAGACACATATGCAGGTGAGAGTAAGTTTGGGGGTTACAGTGCAGGGTCAGCTAGCATGCAGCACCACTGGAGCTGGGGGTTAAGGGACTTGTTTTAGGCCCAAATGGCAGCATCAGTTTGCTGGTTATGGGTTTTGAACCTCTGACCTGGGCAGTCCTGACCCACTGAGTCACACAGCGCCCTCTAATGTATTTTGTTATACTTCTGCATGTAGAAGTTTTTCTTTGATGTTCTTGAAGGACATTCACAGTCAAACCAAAGACTGATCGTTTTTTTTACTCATGTAGTTGCATATGCCAGCCCGACCTCCCGGAAGTTTCCCTGTCGGGCTACCAGAATGTAACACCACCCCAACTTATGGGCTGTCAGAAATCACCCTCTAAGTAAAAGTAAACACCCCCTTCTGTTTACATTTTCTGCTCTTTGACTTGCTGTTTGGAGGAAAAACGTTGACCACCGAATGAACAAGCCGTTGACCATGGTGATGGTTTGCTAGGAAGCTTATGTTACTGTTTGCAGAATCGACGGGTATCCACTAACCCGCCAGGGTTTCCCACCTCCGGTCCTGTAGGGCCACAATCCAACACAGTCTGCAGATTTCCCTGCACAAGCATATCTTAATCAGCTAATTACAAGAATTAGTAGGTGTGTTTGAACTGGGAAATCTGCAAATTGTGCTGGATTCTGGCCCTGCAGGACCAAAATTTGGGAACCCTGCCCTACCCTGTAGCTTGTGGGAGTTTTACTTACACAAAAATGTTCTGAGTGCAGAATGAGAAATGATTAGTTCAGAGAGATAACCAGCCAGCCATGTTGGGGATTCTACTTTTAAATGGTAGCTTTTCGCACTACAAGCTACAGAGAAAAAGTAGCTAACTACTTAAAGCAAATTAATTTTTAAAAATGTGAAACATGATGTTAAGAGTAATATGAAAATCTATATATTTTTTTAACAATGTAATGTCAAATCACAATAAGGTTTCAAGAAAGTCTCTTTATTTGGTGTAAACCAAGAGTACTTCACAATTGTTGTCCGAAAATTAGAAGGGTTACAAGAAAAGAACAAGACAGTTTTGGAAATCAGTGAGCTACACTGTACCCTACACTATAGTCTGACATGCACCTCCACAAAAATGTAACTACACATCGTTGTTACGTCCGGGTTACCCAGGCTTTAAAAGTCCGAGCTGCAGCGCCTTTCGAGAGATTCTCTCTGGGTCGAGGGTTGCTATGTGATATTCAGTGCTGCGTTTCCCTATACCGGTTGTCGTTTCTCTCATGTATATTGTACTGCTCACCCCTGTTCATTCGGTCGCGTTGGGTCGTGGGGCTGCATATGAGGTTTTGGTTTTGTGGCTGTTTTATCTGTTCATAATCGGTGTGCAGAACTATGTCAGGGACAGTGGCTTAGGGGCCGCCACCAACCACTGTAGGTTTTTGTTTTATAGATATAGAACAGATAGATTTTGTTTTTTTGTTTTCATTGAAAGGGTTTAGTTCCATTAACTGGTAGGGTTGTTTTGTTTTATTCTATTCTTTCCTTTGGTGGCGCCCTGTGCCCAACTTGCTCTTTTCCCGTTTCCCGTGACGTGTATCTTTTCCTCTGTGCGATATATATAAAGAAAAACCTGTTAAAACCATTTTTCGGAGGTATTGGACCGTCATTCCCGTGGCGAATCAAAACCTAGACAGAACACAAGAACTGTGATTGGTCCACTTGGTAGCATTACATTTTCTCCTACTCATTTCCGACTTTTGGATTTGGTGGGAATTATAGAGTGACGCAGACACACCTGTGCACAAGTAAAAACGTTTGCATGCAAAAGAAACAGTACATATAATGTTTGTTACTACTGGGTGCATGAAGTCAGGAAAGAATTTTGGGTTCAATCGAGAGGGAATTTTATGAAGACCAATATTGTGAAGAATGACCTCTATTCACGTGACTTAAGTGCTGCTTTCCTCTCTGAAATTGATCGCTTATGAATAGCTGCATCGTTATTTTTCCCATTGAAAAAAAATCATAGTTGTCCCTGATGCTGCTCAGACAAAAGCTTGGCCCATTTCACATCACTTCTTTGTTATTTTACACAGACAGGGTTTGAATTCAGGGGCTTCATCCATTTAAGGCTGCATTCAAAGACGGAATGCATCACAGCGGTGCGACAAGGCTGTCCCATTTCGAAGACTCCTTCAAATGCAGTCTAGAAATGCGTCCTTCTTTTCGCACTCTGCAAAGGATGCACCTGATGGCTCCTATCATAAAAAATGTTAAGTATAAATCCTGGTCATTCCAAGCAAAATTTTTGCCCATTCATTCAGAAGAGCATTTATACAATCAGGCACTGATGATGGACATGAAGGCCTGGCTCGCAATCTCCATTCTAATTCATCCCAAAGGTGTTTGATGGGGTTGAGGTCAGGGCTCTGTGCAGGCCAGTGAAGTTCTTCTACACCAAACTCACCCAACCATGTCTTTATGGACTTTGCTTTGTGCACTGGGGCACAGTCATGCTGGAATGGAAAAGGGCCTTCCTCAAACTGTTCCCACAAAGTTGGAAGCATAGAAGTGTGATTCGTCACTCCACAAAGATTGACATTGTGTTTGGTGATGTGAGGCTTGCATGCAGCTGCTCAACCATGGAAGCCCATTCCATGAAGCTCCCGGTGCAATTTTTGTGCTGCGGTTCATGCCAGAGGAAGTTTGGAACTCTGCAGTTATCCAGTCAACAGAGCATTGGTGACTTTTACACAATATACGCCTCAGCACTCTGTGACCCCACTCTGTTACTTTACATGGTCTGCCACTTCATGGCTGAGTTTCTGTTGTTCCTAAATGCTTCCACTTTGCAATAATACCACTTACAGTTGACCATGGAATATCTAGCAGGGCAGAAATTTCACAAGCTGATTTATTTCAAAGGTGGAGTCCTATGAATTCGCTTGAATTCACTGAGCTCTTCAGAATGACCCATTCTTTCACAAATGTTTGTAAACTTGACTGCATGGCTAAGTGCTTGATTTGTGGCAATGGGTCTGAATCAAACACCTGAATTCAATTATTTAGTCCTGATACTTATGTCTATATTGTGATTGTGTGTGTGTGTGTGTGTGTGTGTGTGTGTGTCTATATATATACAATTTGTAATGTGTAATATTATATATTACACACACACACATAAAAATTGCTTGTTTTTTAAAATTGGGCTCATCAAAATTCATTTAATTCTCTACCAAAATCTGTGGAATGCCTGTCCAAAGGGCTACCAGGAATTTAGAAGCATTGCGAGCCATGTGGCATGTGATATTTTAATAGAGAAAACGGATGTTCATGGGTTGTTAACCCATACCCAGCAGGGAGCCAGAGCTGCTTGCTGTGTGTGACGAGGCCCCCTTTCTCCTAACAGCTGGTACAAGCTCCTGAACAAGTCAGGCAAGCAGGACAAGGAGCGCGGTGAAGTTCAGCTGGACATCCAGTTCCTGAGGAGCAACATGACGGCCAGCATGTATGACCTGTCAGCACAGGACAAGCCTCGCTCGCGCATGGGCAAGCTCAAGGACAAGCTACGGGGCAAGCACAGGGAGGGGCACTCCGACTCCATCTCTGCCATCGTGCCGTCGGTCAGCCAGGGCCTGACGGACAGCGAGGGAGAGGAGAGCAATGAGGGTGATGCCAAAGCCGGAACCCAGAAGTCATCGCTGTCACTCCTGACCCCCAAGACGAATCTTCAGCGCAATATATCCCAGTCGATGTCTCAGCTGGGCTCTGGCTCCGAGTGGGACACCACCAGCAAGGACCATCAGGACCCTAGTGATGGTAAGTGGGCAATGTAGTATTTACAAGAATTGCTTCCAGAATGGAAAAGATGGTTCAATGGTAGAATTCCATCCATAAATTTTCAGAATTATGCTTATCGATTTAGCGTAGCATTCATCCAAGGTGGGTCCACACATCCTCTAGGCATGAATTAGTTGCCTTTTTTTCAGAACTACATTGCTGGATAGATGGAAACCCCTACAAACATGGAGGGAATCCCCGAGCTGTAGACGTTTTGAGAAGAAGCTAAATTGTGACTTTGAGTGTTTTTGTTTAATTCGTACTAGGTAAGAAGATATTTGGGTTCCTGACCCACAAGCGTTCAGGGAGCTCCGACAGCAAAGTGAGCCACGGCCCCCTCTCGCTGCTGGGGCAACATAAACAGGCCCCTGCAGAGCAAGTCACCATCTGCATCAACGGAAGCCACGTGTACAATGAGGAGCCCCAGGCCAAGCCGAGTCACACGGGGTCAGCCCTCAGTCTCTCCGGCTCTCCACGTGGTTCTACTGAGAATCTGCACCGAGTTGGAAAGGGAGATGATACTGGCAGCTCTGCAGACATATTCAAGGGCTTTGAGAAGATGAAGCCAGAGAAGGTGGAGCAAGAAAGGAAGAAGCAGGAGGAACAGGAGAGGGAGGGGAAGAGGCAGGAAGAGCAAGAGAAAGAGAGGAAGAAGCAGGAGGAGCGGGAGAGGGAGAGAAAGAGGCAGGAGGAGCAGGAAAGGGAGAGGAAGAGGCAGGAGGAGCAGGAAAGGGAGAGGAAGAGACAGGAGGAACTGGAGAGAGAAAGGAAGAAGCAGGAGGAGCAGGAAAGGGAGAAGAAGAGGCAGGAAGAACTGGAGAAAAAGAAGGTAGAGGAACGGGAGAGGGAAAGAAAAAGGCAGGAAGAACAAGAAAGGGAGAGGAAGAGGCTGGAGGAGCAGGAGAGGGAGAAGAAGAGGCAGGAGGAACTGGAGAAAAAGAAGGTAGAGGAACGGGAGAGGGAAAGAAAAAAGCAGGAAGAGCAAGAGAGGAAGAGGCTGGAGGAGCAGGAGAGGGAGAGGAAGAGGCAGGAAGAACTGGATAAAAAGAAGGTAGAGGAACGGGAGAGGGAAAGAAAAAAGCAGGAAGAGCAAGAGAGGGAGAGGAACAGGCTGGAGGAGCAGGAGAGGGAGAGGAAGAGGCAGGAAGAACTGGATAAAAAGAAGGTAGAGGATCAGGAAAGGGAAAGAAAAAAGCAGGAAGAGCACGAGAAGGAGAGGAAGATGCAGGAGGATCAGGAGAGGGAGAGGAAGCGACAGGAAGAACAAGAGAAGGAGAGGAAGAGGCAGGAAGAACAAGGAAAAAGGAATCAGGAGAAAATAAGTCAAGAGGTGAACACAAAGGTAGAACAGAGACCAGGTAAAGAAACTCAGGAGGTGTACAGCTCAAACCCCTTTGATGACACAAACAGCTCCAGCCCTTTTGAAGAAAGCATCCTAGACGAGCCCAATGTAATCTCCAGTGGCCGACCCAGCCGCTTGACCAGAGTGTCTGCTGTCAAGCCCAGGTGAGTGACTCAGCAGCAGCACCTGCTTCTGGGGGAAGGGGGGGGGGGTCCTGTCTCAAGGCCCAGTGCTAATGTTACTGCAAAGTTCCCATCAGCAGTGAGTAACAGAGACTAATCACAATCAACCACCAACCATTCAGCCATCTATTAACATCCAGTCTTCATCACAGTTAATTATTATTAAAACGAGCTAATCACCCCACGCCCACGCAGGTTCTCCCAACGAGCTGCTGTTCCTTGTGCCTTCTTACATTTCCATTACCTTCTGCTCTTAAATCTGTACCAGTCATGCAGGAGCCTCTTGGCGTTAGTATCTGTGCTGGTGTGCATGCGTAACTCACACATCCATCTGCTTCCCGTGGTACACAGATCACCCCGAAGAGGGTTATGAGGAAATGGGGGAGGGGGGGGGGGGACACTAAGGTGTGAAGAGTATGTTTGAGGTGGACACTGTGTGGTTTGCTAGATTATATTCAGCTTTTCAGATTCTTCTTTCTTAAAAAAAAAAAAAAAAAAAAAAAACATTGGTCCTTAATTGAATTATGCAGTGTCAAAGCCCTTCTCTTTGCTATGTCAGTGGCTGCACTCGGGGGGGCAGGGGGTGGGTGGTTAATGACAGCCCTTTATCTAAGCACTGACTTCTTTTTTTTTAATCTTCCTTGTGTGCATCAAACCCAATGTCTCACTTCTTTGTGGTGGACTGTAGCCCAAACCTCCACCTAATCCCTGTCCCCGTCACCCCCTGCTTAAGGCCATAACAATCCACAGCTATTACTTACAGGTGTGTGTATGTGGGGTGGGGGGTGGGGGGGGGTGGGTATGTATATGTTACATTGTGGGGACATTTTTTAAGTCCCCATAAAGGGAAACCCAATTTTACAAAAATCTATGACTGAAGTCAAATAACTAAAAAGGCAGAAGTCTTGCCTTTTGTTTAGTTACTTATGGTTAAGGTTGGGGCTGGGTGGAGGTTGGGGTTATCATGGTTAGGATTAGGGTTATGCCCATAGAAATTAATGGTGAGTCCCCACAATGACAGGAATATATGCACCATGCACGTAGCGTGCATGTGTGCTTGTGTGTGAGTCCACCGAGTCTGGCAGGGTCACGGGAGGGATGGGTCATACTGTACCTCTATCTGACGAAGAGAGTAGCAGTCAGGTTCCTCAAAGGATCCATTGCAGGTCTTTGTTTTGAGGCTCTCAGAGCCACAGAGAATGCCGGTATATCTCCTATTAAAAATTCATTGGCTGTGAGTGTGTGTGTCAAAAACAACAACGACGACTGTCATAACAACAATGACTGTCAGTCTCCCGCCCAGCCAGATTCTGGTGGACCTCTGTGTTCTTTGAAATTATCGTGCAGAATTTTTTGTTCTGATGGATAGATTTTAAGCTTTTGGTGCCCCCCCCCCACCTGTCCCCCCCAATCTCCTTCAGTTCCACCTCTTATTCAGTACCTGCCCCATCTGCCAAATTATTCAAAGGCGGTCAGGGTCTCACAAAACCAAATCAGGAGCTTCCAGGTCAACTTGGTGGCATTCCTGTGGAGTCCTTGGTCCAGCCCAAAAAGAAGTGTCAGGCCCCACTCCCCCCTGGACGCCTGGATCTGGCCCGGACTGAGAACCCCATCACAGCCTCTGTCACTGCACCTCTTTCCAGTCCTGGTCAGGGAAACACGTCTTCACTGGCTCCTGGCAGCTCTGCTGTCAGCATGGAGACAGGCATGGCTTGTTCATGGGCAGGCAAGCGTCCTGCTCCTCAGCCCCCAAGCAGAGCTCCTCTGGCACCACAGACCCAACCAGTGGAAGAGTCCTCAGAAACTGGGCCCTGCACTTCTGTGGACAGACGGCCTGACAGTCAGAATGAAGACACTATACTTGAGTATGGAACAAGTGTTACAGAGACAGCAGCTCTCTACAGGAAGGAAACAGACTCAACACAGACACACGTTGCATGCTGTCTTCCCGGGGCGCTTACTGATGATGTCAGAAAGAAAGTACCCAATGCTGCTGAGGGTAGTACCATTGTAGGTAGAGAGGATGGTCTTCTTCAAGCAGAGACTCTAACAGCAGAAGAGGGCAAAGCATCTACAACCAAGGCGAAGTTGATGGACCCCGAACCCAAAGGCTGTGTGAACCAACCAGAGGAGAATGTTGGCAACAAGGTCCTGCCTGGATATGGGAGGAGAGATGAAGAGGATTTGCCTGACAAAGTGCAACGCAGTTGTTCATCTTTTGACCACTGCACATGCTCGCAAAGTGCAGCTGATGATGTGAAAAAGCCTTGTGTGCCAATGAACAGAAGTGCCACTGATTACCGTGTGAGTGTCCCGTCATGGAAGAAAAAGCATGCACCTGCACCACCAGCGACACACCCGAGCATGAGGGAGGCAAGCGGAGACACGCCTGAATGGGATGCAGACAGCATGGAAAACTTGTCAGGCGTAGATGTGACACCCAAAGTTGCACAAATGAACAAGCAAGAGTTGGACAAGAAACAAGCTCCATCTCAAAGCAGCAAAGGGCAGTGGGCTTCAGGCTCCTTTAAGTCAACATCTTCCCCCACAACTGCTAACTTTGTTTCTCATGAGAGCTCTGGGCCTGCTAGCACCACCTCTGGTAGGAGGTCTGCACTGCAGGCTAGTGTTCTGTCCTGTGAGCCGCACATGATTAAAGCACAGAAAATAGATGGAGGTGGTGGGACTAGGGAAAAAGAGGGAGGGCCAGTCTCACCTCTACACAGGTAAGAATAAATCACAATCTCTGACAGATTCCCTGATTCCATGAAGCATTAGAGCAGATTGTATGAATACAAAAAGTTTGACAACTTGAGTTCCAGTCACTGTACTGTTTTAAAGACATAATTTAAAGTTTATCTATTACACCCCCACTCATCTGCGGTTGACTTGCCGGGCATTCCACTCAGAAATTATTTGATGAATCACCAGATAATGATATACATGTGTAATGGACAATGTCACAAGCACTGTAGACCATGAATTTGCATTTTGTTTTCTGAGTAAGGATTTGCTCTTCCGTGGCCTCTTCTGTTACTCCTGCCTTTTTCTCTCCCTCTTTCTTGTTCTGCCTTTCCTTCTCTTAAGCAAGTTTCCACAGGAAAGTTTCCTGATCCCATTTTTTGTAATTCTTCTGATATGCATCCTTTCTAAGGGAAAAAAAAACAAAAATTTCAACATGCTCTGGAAGCATCCAGTGTTTCCATTTACCTGTCAGTTTATTTGATTTTTAATATTGAATATTGAGATTTTGAGGTGCAGCTTCATTTTTTTTTTTTTTTTTAATGATCAAATTATTTCTCTTAAAAAGATTATCATAAAAAGCATGAGAAGTTTAGATGAAACAAGCTTTCATCGTGTGAAATTGCTTGTAATGGATATGCAAGGTAAAACGTGAAAATTTTATTACCCAACAAAAAATACTGTCGATTCCTGCTAAAGTAAATTTGAATAACTCCTTCGGAAGCAATCAGATCTGTGCTGAAATTCTCCCCTGCATAGGTTTTTAATACATCACTAGGTTTTTTTGTCCAGAAGCCAGTACTGAGTACCTACCTGTACTCCTCTGAACAAAGCCATTCTCTCATTAATATTTATTCCGCTTTGAATAAGGCTCTGCTGGGAAATCTAAAACCCTATACGCCACTTTGTTCAGATACCGTGTGCCTGTGGGCATGTGTGTGTGTTTGTGAGTTAAAAATAATCTTGGGCGATGGGGTGACTTCAGCTTACACTGAGTTTCAGAAGGCCAAGTAAAGATCTCGGATGGATTTTGGGTTTCCTCAAATACTTCTTTATCCTCAGTGGCTTATTTTCTCTGTCAGAAGATTTCTCATGTACATTTTGGTTGTTTACATTCAGTCTATCTTGCCTGTTTGCATATTGAACAGAATACAAATAATTCTTGTGGTGCTTCACCTGTACAGGTAAGCAGATACTGTGTGTATGTGTGATATTTCAATATTTACATCTTGAGGAAGCACTGAACTGTGCGCTAGCATAAAACAATCCAAACCACAGATGAGGGACATTGCTAATGTTATTGATTCATACGGCTGGGTAATTTAATTACGCAAGAGAAGTTTTAAAAAAACTACAAGTGCCAAACACAAGAAGATAAACAAATGAAAAGATTAACTTTAATAAGTGTTTAATAAGAGACTTTTGTTTGTTCTTGACATAATCCACTGGATAATTCTCTGAATTAGAGACAAGGCTAAACAATTTTGCGGTGGTGCATTTCTGTGGTCAAATTTGAACAATTTTTCCAGGTCAACTCCCTAAACCCCCCAGCAAGCCAGTGGAAACAAAATGTAATTATTTCTAGATCCCCCCCAGGCCAAGACCACAGACAATGGAAAGCAAATGAAAATGAAGGGATGAATATCGACTATTATGTCGTAATCATTTGTGTTCCTTTTTATCTGCTGGCTGACGTAATATATTCCGTATAATGTATTGAATGCAAACTGCCTGACTGTATGCATTCAGAGCCATCTGTCTCACTGATTCACACAAAGATGCGTACATTTACATTTAGCTGTTAGCCAATTCTTTATCCAGAGACTCACAATTAAGTGTCTTCATTTTTCTACCCTCTATCCAGTTGGATGGCTTAATGTAGCACTTCTGGTCGATTATTTGTTCAAAGGCACTACAGCAGAGCCACTTCAGGTTGTTCCTCTTAAGTACTGTACCTCCCTTGACCTCTATTTCTTTGGAGATCTGAAAGAGATTTTGTTCTGACAGACGGCACCCGGTGAAGCCCCTGAGGACTGCAGAGATCCAGTCTGTCACCAGTGCTGCCGTTGCCCCAGTTGGGCACGATGTGGGGGTGCAGGCTGCAATATCAGAAAAATCAAAGGTACTGCCGGGAGTCGTTTTTGTATACAGCTGATCTCATTTGTCTCCATGGAGCTTATGAGGTCCTCCTAGACATCTCTGCCAATCAGGAGAAAGGTCATTTACAGCTAATTGTAAGAAGGTTTCCAAAGGATGTCTGGCTTAATACATAAAAAGCCTGATAAGGTTAACAATGTTTGGTTTCACACAAACAAAGAGTGAGTGAGTGGAGTGAGTGGAGTGAGTGGAGTGAGTGGAGTGAGTGGGTGAGTGAGTATTTTATTTTTTTGATGGTGGCGCAGAAGGTAGTGCTACCGTTTGGCAACCAGAGGGTTGCCAGTTCGGGCCCCGGCTCCTCCTGACCCCAAATTGCTCCCGGTGAGCAGGTTGGTGCCTTGCATGGCAGCCTCTGCCATCGGTGTGTGACTGTAAAGCTCTTTGAGTGCTTGAAGGAGTGGAAAAATGCGCCATATAAATGCAATCCATTTACCATTTAGTTAGTTTTATGCAGGTCCACAAACCCATATAGGCTTCATATTTTTTTTTCTGAACTCACTTTAAAATCCTCTGTTTACATTTTGAAGCTTGAGGTGTGAGTCACGCATCATATCACACAACTGAGACACACACAGATGCATAAACATATGTTTGTGTAATTTGGAGATGTGTGTTCTGCTGGAAGGCAGGCGGTGCTATGATGGTTCCCAGTTTCCCTGCAATCCACCAACCTTGCTGCTGTTGCCCCGTCCTCTCAGGAGCCCGAGGCTAAGGAGGAGGGGCCTTATTCCCAGCTCACCCGGTCAGAGCTCATCGCCCTGCTGGTCAAGCAGCAAGCCCAGCTGGCTGATCAGAGCAAAAAGATCCGCACCCTGGAGGAGTACATCGACAACCTGCTGGTGCGCGTCATGGAGGAGAACCCCAGCATCTTGATGGACCTGAGCGGCTCCAAGAAAGCCGTCTAAGCCCCCTTCTGAGGGACCGGGTGCTGCTGTGTCATAGAGGCCCCCCCCCCTTAGCTGGGAGCCCAAGCCCAGATGCTGCTCCTCAGTACTGCAGACATCTGTCATGATTCGCCTTTTTCGGGATGGTGGTGGAGGACAAAAGTGATTAAAGGCTTTAAATTTTTAAATATGGAATGTCTCACGCAAGAAGAAGGTCAAATCAATCAAGCCTAATTTAAGATTCATAATGCATATTGAACAACAGGACAGTGCAACCTGTGTTGATTCCTGTCATCCAGAAATGGGCGACATTTGTAGTGCAATTAATGTGCATGTAAACCTAGAGGTTTGCATGCAGTGTAAGTGCTGTCCCTCCTCTGCAAATCTGTAAGCGATACCGCATGATTTTCAAAAAGTGCACTACAGTTTTTTGCTTGTGATTTGCTCACTAGAAAACGGCAAATGTTTTGAAAAAAAAAATACCTACAGAGAAAGATTCTGATGTGTATATATAGAGCATATTTGTATAAGTCCTTGGAAATCTGCACTTTATGTCTGATTGCTGAACTGGCTTAATATCTTAATATTACATTTGTAAGAAAGTGCCTTACCTGTTTTTCATATGGAACTTGACAAGTTAGGACACTTTCATCACTGTAAAGTCAGTTTTCCCCTTTTTGGAGAATATTGAACCAGATCATTATTGGGTCTATAATGTTCCAGTCTGGTGGTGGTTTCACAGTTTGTTGGCCATCAGCATTACAGCCTTAATTGGCTCGATGTCAGTCTGTTAAAATGTCTCATTTTGTCACTGTGATGACAGGCAAACCGGGATCGGAGAGGTGGCAATTTTGACAGCAGCATACCCCTGTGAAAAGGTCACACGTCATGATCATGTGAAAGTCTAAAGCAAATGAAAATAAAGACAGTGAACTTAAGACGGCGTTGGTGGTTATGATAATAAGCTGAGAACTTTATTGGGGAGATGCACACTAAGCCGTCATGGGACATGAATGGCGAGATGGCTAATTTCTTGGGTACATTTCTTCACACGAAGGGGTGTCAAATTAAATTCCTGGGCAGACTGTCTGTTTATTTTTATTTTCTCTTGTGTTTATGATGGCAAATTTTTCTGTATTTTGTTTTGGCTGCTTAAATAGCCAAGTAACTGCAATACGCATTGGAGCATTCATTGAACAAAACAGCACACTGAAATAGTAGCCACAATATTCCCAGGAAAATTAGTTTGACAGCCCTGTACTCCTGCAATCCCCTGCCATTTCCATACCTCATGCACAACTGGATGCTATTGTAAATGTGACCGATTCTTACCTACACCGAGTATCTCGCTTGATGTTCTTTACACTAGAGCGGTCACAGGTGCCTGTGGCCATATGAGAACTAACCATGTCTGTGGCATTTATTTCTAGCTGCGGGGTTTTTTATGTTTGCTGGGGCCTAAATGACTTGGCATCATTGTTTGGGAATCTTGTTAAATCTTCTGTCAGGGATTTTCGTCACTCGTTCCCACCAATTGTGAGCGGAGAACAGCTTGAATCGATGAGTCCCTGGCAGGGAAATCTTGGTAAATGGGGTAGGCGGCAACTCCTTCCAAGCAGGTGATAACCCTGGCTGAGGGAGGGAAGGAAGGAGGGAGCGAGAGAGAGCGACGGAAGGAGCGCGATATCACTGCAAATGTGGAAATAATTGTCTGTTAAGGGCGTAATTGCTGCATGGAAACGGCAAAGACAGAATCGACCGGTCACATTCGTTCTTACGCCTGCAGAACACACGCACTCTTAAAAACAAAGACAGTGAAAATGGCAAAGGTGAAACAAAATCGCGGATCCGATCCACAAAGTCGATACGTGATTTGCTGAAGAGTATGGCACTTGAAAAGCTTTCTCTGTAAATCGCCACCCATGAAGACAATTTATTATTCATTCTTTATACCCTTTCTTTATTCTTTATATTGTTCTATATTGAAGATAACCACACATTTTTAACCAAATATATATATATATAGGTCTATATATTTTTCCCAGTGTGCTTGTACAATATAACTGTAATGATTTTCTTTTATCATTTTTGTGCCTTCTAACAATCTGAAAGATCACTTGTTTAGAAGGGTGAAGTCAGTTGTATTTTGTGATAAAATCTGATAAATTCTAAACTGTATAATTACATCCATCCATTCATTTCCTGAAACCACTTAATCCCAACAGGGGTTGCGGGGGGGGACCAGAGCCTATCCTGTGCACAGGCGGGAACCAACCCTGAGCAGTCGCCAACACACCACAGGGCACACACACTCACACACACACACACACAACTACAGGGCCAATTTAGACTCACCCATTAACCTATCCTGCACGCTTTTGGACTGTGGAAGGAAACCAGAGCGCATAATTACATGATTTTATATAAATATATAAACCCAAAAGTAATTTGTAGCTTTTGAACGGAATCTTGTTGGATTTTTTTATATATATACATAAATATATATAATATGTCATGTGTTGTTCATCTGAGGTTGTATTTACCTAAGACCTGTTAAGGACCAGATGAATTTTTTTGTTATGTCTTGATACGTAAAACCTTAGAGTTGAAAGAAAGATGCACTTTATTTTTCACATGACTGCATGCTTAGTATAACTGTAGCGATTTAATAGATTACATTGCTGACATACGGCCTGCAAGAACGTAGGAAAAATATTGAGATTAAGGTTATAACCTGGCGCTGTTTTAGGTTATAGACACATCCAGTCGAATAATCCTTTGTTACAATTTTACAGGTAAAAATATGAAACCCTCCTTTTCTTAGTTTATCCACTTAGAGTGGTAGGCTACAATTCTGAAGTATAATAATCTGCACCAGTGAATCACTATGCTGTAAAATACAATGGCTTGCAACGGCAACTGAGAACGAACAAAATAAATGATTTGCTGGTGGGACCGAAGTACGTTTTTCTTGGTAATCGGGAGGTCAGTGAGGCAGCTGTTTGATCTGGCTGCCGTAACCCAAACTCCGGTGGCGAGTTGTGGAGCTGTGCCTATTTAGAGCTGCAGAAACGGTGACGTTGTACCCCTGCTAGAGTCATTCTTTCACCAACATTCATCTGACCAGAGTTGTGAACACAAACTGGACTTGAACTGAATGGGGGTTATAGACAGGGCCCAGTAGGGGCATGGATACCCTGGCAGATTCAGGGGACCCAGCACTTTACAGGGGCTCTTGAATATGTAAAAATACACATAAAATTGGGAGGGTGGCATTTTGTCAGGGATCCCAGAATTTCTATGCCCAGGGTGACCCCCTTTCTGGATTTCGTCCAGACAGTCCGGTTTTCCAGCCCTCTGTCCGCACTGCTGCTGAGTGTCCTCCATTTAACCCCCTGTCCTCCTCCTTCCCTCCCCTCCCCCATCCCCACTCACTCAAAAAACGCAAAACTCCTGGACATACATACTAGAGGAGTCGAGAACAGGCGTGCTTTTTTTATTCTCTTCTCTCTAGATAACAAGATAAATATCAAGATAGATATACCATTCTCAGTTTCTGTAGTATGTCTGTGCGATATAGACCCCCCCCCCCCCAACTCGTCATGGGCAGCCTCCTTTTTCAAGGTTCAAGGTCACTTTATTGTCATCAGCAGCTTCATACATGTACAAAGAGTGACGAAACAACGTTTCTCCATGGCCCCGGTGCAACATATAGTAACATATAGTGCACTTAACATTACAGTAACAGGGCGTGCAAGGTGCAAACAGGCAGTAAATAAATAGTGCAGAGATGTACAGTAAGAGATGTTTTAGGCCTCAGTGTGGTCACCCTCACAGGGCTCCCTATCTGAAACTTAGATCATAGGCTGGTCTACTTCTGTTTACTTGCACACAGGTTGGTAGTTATCGTTAGATATCGTTCATCATATATCACACCAGTATAATTATACACTGTTTATTGTATGTGACATGATATTTTATTTGCCTTTGTAGAAAGCACAAGTACAGTCCAACAAGGCCATTAACTGAAATCTGTTTCACACTCCTGCTCTAATCCATTAGCACGTTTGATGGTCTTTTATTTATGTACGTGAAAAGGGTACCAGCTATGAGTGGGGTTTGTTTAGGTCATAAAATGAGACACATCACTGGAATGTTCTTTTCAGAAATGTGTCAATGTTTCATAGTTTAAAACAGATAGTATCTAACTTTCAAACACGTTTTAACATGAAATCCACTTCAGTGATTACAGGCCAAATAAACATTTAAGCAACTCGATTGATTGCATGGACAGCCTAAGTGAAAAAATGTTACTGAGACATAAATAACAAGTAACACATTAAAAAAAAAAGTCAAATATTATTTGGAGTGATGTGTGTTTCAAATTCAACAGCAACAAATATTGCATAATTATAAACTAAAGCAGACCGTATGTGTATTGAAAGTGTCAATGGGATTGTGCGGAACCAATATTTGGAACCGATATACGGAACCATGAGACAGTAAATAGATTTCTACACGGACCGCACGTCGGCAGCACCAGTGTGAAAATGTAATATCGTAAATAAACCGGTAAGGATTCTCGACAACGCAACCTCACACTTAGGAGCTAACCCGAATTAAACAGTTGTCCCACCATATTCGTGATGTTGACTTTCGAGGGTTTTGGTTACTCGCGAGTTGGCCGTGAACAATTAAACGGGAATATTTTTGGAGCTTGCCGAAAGATCGCGAAAACTCACAGGAAACGCCTAAAACAATAATGAAAATGGACTACATGAAATCATATAATCTGTAAATATTAGTGATACATAATATTTGTTTACATGCATACTATATCCGCAACATTATAAGTATTGGCTTGGGTACGCCGCGAATCTGTCTTGGCAACCAGCCTCACTCACCTGTTAGCTGTCTGACTAGAATCTCGCGTTTATTGCAGTAACTTTTCAGTAGCGTTAATTTTGTATTTTTAATAGTGGGTCCAAAATGTAGTGCTCCCACTGTGTAAGTATTAAGTTTGTATATACAAGCATGAGCGTAAATTATGTAACCCCCCCCCCCAATAATCAAAACCGGCTGATAAAATCCATAATCATTTCTCCTTCGAAATAGGTGTTCAACCCAAATTTACGCCCTTGAATACAGGGGGGCATAATTTGGACGGTTTGTATATTACATAAAAGGTCAAGATAATGATGCAAAGTGCACAGCACAGATACTGTTTGTTTAGGAATAGATAATAAATACACTTTTTATATGATCGTTCAGGCTGGCAGACTGTTATGGGTTAGGGGTGCCTAAGTATTACTCGCGGGGATTTTCCGCCCCTAACCCCGACAACGAGTCATTTTGACCAAATGGTGGCCATTGAGAGTATAACTAATCTGCCTGGTTCATATGCAGCCTGATATCTCAGTAGCGGTTGGGTAAATGCAGGGTTGAATTTGTAATTGTATATTTGTTATTTGTTAGCCGGTGGCTCATTCCTTTATGACTTAGCTGGGCAGTACCTGTATGTATATTTTCCCGCGTTGCTGTATTTCTTAGTTGATTTCTGTTTAATTACCAAATATACACGGCCTTGGCCTGTCGTTTTAATACGGTGAGCTAACGCATTCGGCCTGATTTATTCATGTAGTTTGGCGTGTGTACCTCATCGTAGTGGTGGCGCCGTGCTTTTAAAGCTGATTATTCCGTTGTGTGCGGACTGCAGGTAGCCGCAACCCGATCGTACACGTCGCCTTTCTGGGACACCAGTCCCGAGCCCGTTTCGCCAATCCCGCCTGCCCTGCCCGGGCTGCTGGACAGATGATGGGATCTGGCCGTAAATGCCCGGACTGCGGCTCCTCCAACGTGGTGGAGGACGACCTGTACTCGCAGCCCCAGCTGGTGTGCACTGACTGCGGCTCCGTGGTGTCCGAGGGACAGCTCACCACCACCCGCAGTGAAGAGGTTCAAGGGACAAGTATGCAAGACGCTTTGAACGTGTATCCGTGCGACCCTATGCACCCTGGAGTCTCTAAGCTGGGAGATTTTTACCCATTTATTTAAGATGGGTCCTTCTGTTAACTTTTTTGAGGCTTTGTGTCAATTTAATTCTTTTTTTCCCCCACTGTTTCAGTTGTCCGATATAGTCAAAGTACAGCAGTTGACAAGCAGCCTTGCAGGAATCAAATTAAAGGTAAGTCCTTTCATTTAAGCCCCGTCACCCAGCTGTAAACCCTGTTTGGCAGAGTTATGAATACAGGATTTCCACTGACACCGACCACACCACCCACAGGCCTGAAGCGTGTCCGCGCACTCTGCCGCATCCTGCGCCTACCTCCCGTCATCGAGGAGACGTCAGAGAGCCTGTTCGCTCAGGCCTACGAGAGTACGGACTTCCTGCACGTCAGCCTGCCGAAGAAGGAGACGCTGGCCGGCTGCTGTGTGCTGCTGGGCTGCCGGATGCAGGGCTGGCCCGTCACCATGGGAACGGTCACCTCCCTACTGGACACAGACTCCTGCCTCATGGGGACGGTGTATAAGATGGTGGTGAGCACCCTGAAGCTGGAGTCGCCCCACACCAACATCATGGACCTGATGGAGGGCCACTGTCGAGAGTAGGTGGGGGGTGATGGTTCATTATACAGGCAGCTCACTGTCCTCTGACACCTGCGTGACTGAGTTTGAGTGCTTCTTGGGTCTGTACTTTAAGGAAAAGACCCCCCCCCCCATGTGGAGATGGTTAATAAATCATAAATAGAGTTTTTTCCAGCACTGTGTTTACTGGATGCCCTGTACTGGTTCTAACACTCCAGTTTATTTGTTTATAACCACATATGTATCCTTTAAATGTAGAGCTTTGTAAAGTATAACAGAACCTAATTTAATTTTTAATATGCCTCTTGTAGCCATGGTGGACTGCTTGTCAATGGTCTGTGTACCCCCTGTGAATCGCTGGGCTTCTCGCTATTGCTAAACAAATAACTGCAACATAAGCATGTGCTTTTGTTTGTAGGCAGTCGGCATGGCAACTGGGATGATGCATGAAGAGGATGTTGTGTAGCAGACTAGCAGTGAGGCTCTCTCTCACCAGTTTTGGATTTGTGTTCTCCAAGGTACCATCTGAGCCCCCCAGGTGTCCCGGAGGAGTTCTGTGAGAGCGCGGACCGGCTGGCCAGCCGTGCCTCGGCGCTGGTAGAGCTGGCATCGGACACCTGGCTGATGACTGGTCGCCACCCGGTGCCGGTGATGGTGGCGTCTGTGTACCTGGCCTGGCTCTCCCTGAAGCCCTCTCCGGCACGCCTGAAGCTCTCCCTGGGCCGCTTCTGCCAGATGGCCAAGGTGGCGGTGCCAGGGCCGGCCTCCAAGCGCGTGACGGAGCTGAAGGAGGTACTGTGTCGGCTTGGCCAGGAGCTGCCCTGGCAGAAGGGAGCTGTTGTCAGCCCCCAGAAAGTGGCTGCGCTGGTCGGAGACGTCTTGAAGCATCGGATCTCATTGCTGAAGCGGGCAATTCGCAGCCACGAGGATGCACTGGCCATGGACTCGGTCTCTGGCACTGAGGGTCTGGATGTGGCCAATACCCCGAGTTCCACGCTACCCCTTTCTCTGTGTACCGATGGTGTGGCCCCTATTTGTGAGGATCTACCGATTGGCTCCTCCCCCTGTTCTGAAGGACAGCCTGATTTCCACCAATCACAGCTCCCTACACCCCATGCCGAGGGCTGTCAGACGGCGCAGAGTGTGCGCGATTCAGAGGATGTGGTCGTCACGGCGACGGGATCAGCAAAGAACCCAGAAGTGAGAGGGGAACCGGCCCGCGGCTCTGCAGAACACTGGGGCAAGAGGCACCCGTTTGTTCCCCCGTGCGCAAGGAACCCATCAAAGAAACCCAGGCTGGCGGAGACGGGACCAGAGGTGACAGGAGATGAGGAGATTTCGGACAGCGAGATCGAGGGGTACCTCCGCACACCACTGGAGATGAGGGAGTTTGCCGAGACCCAGATGAAGCTGCAGTCTGACAGTTACTGACCTTTCTTCTTAAACAAGGTTCAGGATCACCTGCAGTCATGAGTCGTCTGAAACTGGGAGTGTCAGACAGGGTCTGGTCCATCTTCTCTGCTGGACCCCGTTACGTTTTCCTGCAATGTGGCCTTGAAATGGCTACGTTGTTCAGATGTATCGAATCATAGGGCTATTTAGCGAGGGACTGTCGAGCGAGAAACCTGGCAGCCCACGGAGAGAACACCTGTTAAAATCTAATATTGTAGCTTTTTGCATTTTGGAACTCTTGTCAGATGTGTGGATATACCTCATTACTTCCAGGAGTGTGTTTTTCACATTATCCTTTGAACAAAGAATAGAGTTTGCATCATTTGGATGATTCAAACGTGTTCATGTTTTCTTTACTCAAGAAGACTAGATATTGGAACTATTACTTGCTGCCCTTTTTTCTTTTTAAATTAAATCCTTAAAATTTATTCTGAATGATTTGTCATTGCTGGTATAAAATATCTGAAGTTCTGATTGTGAACCTAGACACCTCCACCAGAAAAAATAGCCAGTTCACCTTCTATCGACACTCTGAGTCACTCACAGGGAATCAGACTGTCAAAGCCTAAATTGCAGTTACCTGTAGAAATTAAAAAACTTCCTTCAGGTTTGTTTTGCAAATGATTAAATTTATGCTAATAATAATTTTGTAAAAAAAACAATTACAGACATGTAAACAGCAACTGTGAATTAAGAACAATCAGTGTGAAGGCCACTATGGACTCACCCATGCAGTGAGGGAGGTTATGGAGTGGAAAGATAGAGCTGATGTATTAAAGGCGCCATATTCAATTGATACTGCAAGTATGAGGGCCATACTCGGATGTCTTTTTTTGCAAGTTAGGTGTTTTCATAATACTGATACTAATATTTAAACTGGCGTGTCAAGACACTTGAAGTGCTTTTTTTGCTGAATCAATTAGGCAGCCACTGTGTAGCTCCCACCTAGATGATGTGACAGCAGCCATTCTGCACCAGTACGCTCACCACACAGTAGCTAAGGTGGTGAAGGTGTAGGGGAGAGTTCACCAGTTAGATATAAGCAATGATTAGGGGGGCAGATCTAATAGGGCCACAGTGGGCAATTTTAGCCAGGAGATCTGGGTACCACCCCTACTCTTTCCAAAGATGCCCATGGATCTTTTATGACCTCAGGGCGGCAGGACCTTGGTTTTGCATCTCATCTCATGGCACCATTTTTACAGCACAGTGTCCCCATCACCACATCACTTAATGGGCTCTTGGTCACGCCAACACCTCTCCCAGCAGCAACCCAGCTTTCCTAGTTGGTCTCCCATCCAATTACTGGCCAGGCCCAAACCTGCTTAGCTTCTGGTGGATAACTGAGTCTGAGCTGCAGGTACTATGGCTGCTCTGGCAGTTATTTAACAGTGAGTTAGAGAAAAGGGGCTGTATGGGATAGCGACAGACTACCCCTCACCCACTGCATTAGTGCAGTCTGATGGATCATTTCAGCTATAATCAGTCTAAAGGGATTTTTTCTATGGGTTTTAATTGAAATTAATAGAGGTTTTTTTTTCCTTTCCCCCATGTTAGTGCACAGATATGGAAAGATACCCTTCAAAGAAGCAGTAATCACGAATGCTTTACTGGCACATAAAACCACAGCTCTGCACTGCACTTTACGCCACTTCAAACTATAGCTATTAATAATACCCGGGGGGGGGCTCATTCCAGTGACCTGCCCATTAACACCAGCATGGTTCCCAGAGGAGTAAAAATATGGGGCATTGCATGTAGACTTCACTGGGTGCACCAGTACGCAGGGCAGCACAGAAGCGATTATTATGTGGTGATTCGAGAGCAGTGGAATTATTAAAGGAAGGGGTCTTTACTGATGTGCTGTCCTTGTTTTCATCCCTTGCCCCTCACCCTCACATTTGTTTTTAAAACCTCTTTCAGTGTTCAGATAACAGCATTTGCATTTTAAGTAGTTTAAGGCCGGCCTGGAGGATTTACCTGATACACAGGCACATGCCTGGAGTCCAGCCCTTAAAATGACCCCGGAAACGCATCAGAGAACCACGCTGGCTGTGGCACAGCGGAGGGCCGGCGCAGGCACGTCGACACGGTGCCTGCGCAGGCGGACGCGGCGGCAGGCGAGCATCCTGCGCAGCTCGGCGCGGAAGCGGTCGTGCAGCCAGGCGTAGAGGAAGGGGTTGCAGCAGGACGAGCTCATGGCGCAGAGGTGGCAGAGCAGCTGGATAAGCAGGAAGTAGCGCTTGTCGATGAGCCGGATGTCCACGTCGCGCAGCACGTTGAAGACGTGGATAGGCAGCCAGCACACGCCGAAGGCCGCCACCAGCAGCGCCACCAGGCGGAAGAGCTTGCGCTTGCGCGCCCGCTGCACCTCCACCTGGCTCTCAGTGCGGTGGCCTGGCGCCACGCAGCTGCGCAGCTTGACAGAAATGCACAGGTAGGAGATGCAGAGCGCAGACAGCGGCAGCACGTAGGTGACGAGCAGCGTGCCGTAGGCGTAGGCCAGCCGCTGCCACTCCTTGCCCATCCAGAACTCCTCGCAGATGGTGAAGCCCTCCTTCCGGAACTCCACGTGGTAGGTGTGGGCCACGGCCGGGGCCACCAGGGCGAAGGACGCCAGCCAGATGCCCGTCAGCACGTAGGCACAGGCGGGCACAGAGATGCGCTTCTTCAGGGGGTGCACCATGGCGTAGTACCTACAGGGGAGCGGGCGGCGGGGAAGACCATACAGAAACATCCAGGGCTGAACCTCAAGAAGGACGAGCAGGTTCTACCTGAGAGCTGCTATGTGCTGAACCAGCAATAATCGATCTTGTTTGCTATACCGTCCCTATCGTACGGCCATGTCTTTCTGTGCCACTGTCACATTCTCTCACCTGCTGTTGCTACCAATTTATTAAAATGGTCGTGTCTCCTTGTACTTTACTCCTCATCCAGTCTTTTTTTCTCTATTTTAAATTCTCAGTGCATATACACTTATTTTTGAATGTTTCTTTCTGTTTTATTTTTTTCTCCTGTGTTGTCACCGGAGTGACATACCAGATGTCATGGTATGCTGTACGAAGACACTATTCTCTGTTCTGTTTTATGCACGATCGCTGAAACACACCCCTAACAGCTGTGCAGTTGTGCGACTCGTTTTTCGGAAGCTGTCATCAGTTTCAGCCCCCCCC